AAACCCAGGAGACCATGAGAGGTACCTGCTGTGGGTTCACAACCAGATTGTTCCTTCAAAATTTTAAATTCACACGTTAACATATGCCAAGAAAATTCTAGAGAAAATGATTGAATTTAATTGGAATCATAGCTACATTTAAGAAAAATTGCAAGATAACTTGTATGTTTTCTTGCAGAAACTAATTGTAAGTATTGGCTTGTTTTTTCATGTTACAGACTTACTGTGGACTGAAATTAAGGCATTCTGCCTCTGTCCTCCTAAGTTACTGAAGGTTATCACTAACACTTGCCGCTGGAGGATGTTTTTCTCTAAAGCTGACGTTTTCTGTTCCCGTTTCTCAAGTTGGCCTGTGCAGCGCTCACAAAGCAGCGCTCTGTCACCTCTTGGTGTCCGTGAGCACCGTGCCGGAGGGCGAGGAGCGTGGGATCGGGATGCGCAGGATTGGGATGCATGGATCAGGATGCGCGGGATCGGTCCCTGGAACACTGTGCTGTGAAGAATGCACTGATGGTTGCTCTTTGTTCCTAGTCCCAAAGAAAACATCAGCTAAAAGTAATAAATGATCAAAGGTTAACTATGCTGCTAATACATGTGAAAATATTTTAAAAATTCCTAGGAATTTTTAGCCTGGAATCTAGTCCATAGGCACAAGCCGCCTAATCCGTATTTCACCTTACGTATTGCTTCCAGCAGAGGGGATCTTGACACGGGCTCACAGGTCATTATTTAACTATTTTCTCCTTATGTTACACACAGATTCAAGCTAAGGACTCCTTAAGGTCCATAAACTCAGCACTTAACCCAGAGACCAGGTCCCACCACCGCCCCGGGAATCGGCGTTTTAAATAACTATAAAGGAATAATTCCCGTACTGTGAAGGGAAAGTTCCCTGTTGACTGGCGGGTCTGAACTTCTTTCTAAATTGTAAAATATATTCCATGTAAACATAAAACTTTGGTAGCCATGCTTACTAATATGCATCAAAAACAGGAAAATCCAAGGGTTTGGGCGTCTATGCGATACCAATGATTGCATCCTCCAGTGAAAACCTGTTCTAGCGAGCTGCACTGTCAATGAAACTCCCATTTAATGATTAAACTGAACATATTATTCAAATGGCACCAGAATAACTCATGCTTATGAATAAAGTAGATATTCTGAATACATATCCTCCTAAAAGGTGAATGTATGGCTGCTTTAATTCTATTTCTCCAAAATTCTGGCAATGTATGATGTCTGGTAATCACTGACCTCAAATTCCTTTAAATGCCTCAACTTTGGCAATATAATTTGTTACAAAGGGAGAGTTTTACCTTGTAATGACAGCAGCCTTCAGATTTGCAAAACTTATATCCAGAAACTGCCATAAATGCCATTGTCTTTGACTTATTTATTTACTCATTTACACGTCATTCTTTTCATTATTTCTTTATAATGAAGTCACCTACCTGGACCGAAAACTCTGAAAGAAGAGGAGTTTTAGAGGAAAGATGTGCAGCAGTTTGGCCACAGTTACTTGTTCATTTGCTGCAATTCACATCAAAACTTGAATTTTAAAATTGGGGCTACCTCTTTCTTTCTACCCTTTCTCCTCCCCAAAAAATAAACAAACCCAGCTAAATGAATTGCATAATCTAGATCATTGCTTAATGATGCTAGGCCCATAAAAGGCGATTTGCTCCTAGCAGTTCTATCTATTTAAGGGTGCACTCTAGCTTCTCTTGAAATCGCTAGTGAAAAGAAGCCAAAAATCCCAACGTGCTCCTAGCCCTCCTTTTAAAACCTTCCCGTGCGGCCAGGCGCTGCCCGCGCTGGCTCAAGCAGCCCCTGCGTGATGCATCCAGGTAAGGTTTATGCACATGAATGCGAGCAGCTCCACGCGATATTTTTTGCACGACCTACAAGGCTACTAAGTGAAAAGGCTGGTTCGCTGCCAGCCCGGCTCTGAGGGGCTGCCGCTCTCCTGCCCGCGCCTGCAGCTGGGCATGGGGTGTGCTCGGGGCTCTCCGGTACCTTCTCCCACTGCACCAGAGCTGGAACCATGGGTCTAACCCCTCGGAGCCGGCTCTGCATGCCCAGTGTCCCCGTGCAGAGCTGGATGTGTCACAGGCTGCTAATTCCCTGGCATGCAGTAATGCAGCTGCACAAGGCTCAACCCTCCCTTGCGAGGAGGATGCTGCACCCCTGAACCCTTGGCCACCTAGGTAGAGGCTGGGCTGTTGCAATTTTAAGAAGTATAGATGTATGCTGTGCTATGAAGAGTGGAGTATTTTCTCCCAAAGCAATAGGTTTCACACTCCTCTTTTCTGTTACTCTGGAAAACCATCTATACCTCTGCCTTAGGACAACTTTGATTTATTATTGGGGCAGAATTTGCTGCCTTGGCCAACTGCAGAATGATGCTTAAGGCCACAGAGACATGTGCAGCCACTTACAGACACTTGCCTCTCCTGTGCAGCGCAGGAGGAGGGAGAATTTATAGGTGGGAGCCCAAGACAAAACGAGGAAGGGAGCGCGGGACTCTTGGAAACGGGCACCTCCACCAAGCGCCACAAGAGGTCACAGCGCTCTCGAGCATCACTCGCATCCACGATTCCCAAGGAAGGCTGGCAAACCACGTCAGCTCTGTGGTTATGTAACTGGGACGGGCAGTGGCTCAATAAAAGTGTATGGCCAAGTTGGATATAAACGCAGGGATTTACGCACCAATATTCGTTCAGATGGATGAGGCTGTGAGAGGAATGCCACAAACGCAGAAACAATTCAGTGAGGAGGGAAATACTAAAGAAACTGCCCTGGCTCTTTGTTTGGACTAACCTGTCACGGTAAACAGTGCGGATTATTGAGTGCCTCCATAAGCAGAGCTGCCCTCTCCCGCAGTTTACCTCAGTGTCATGCTCAGCATTTCATTTCCTCGGCACAAGTTGTCACCTATTTCAGGGTATCACTGTTTCTTCCCTTTGCTTGCTGCTGAGATCTAGAGAACTTCTGCAAAACACTCAACTGGTAGACAATGAACTTTTCCATTAGAAAGAATGTAAAATGCTAGGAATAAACAAGGTAAAAACAATCCATCAATGCTAACAATAAAATTGTCCTTCTAAATCACATTGTTTGGGGACTTAGAATGCACAGTGGTTCCTGCAACTTACGTGTTTGACTTTTAAAAATACTCATAATGTTCTAACACACACCAAGTCTTACTGGGGTTCTGATAAAATGATTCACTACGCATTAATATTAAATATTGCTTCTGAAAGTTGCTTTGTTCTGTTTCCCATATGCAAATCAATGTGTGACAACAGCCCTTGAGCTTTTATGAAAACATTGGGTATGCCTTTGGAGCCATGAACCAAGTGTGAGGAAAGACCATTTTGAGGGGTTGAGAAGAAGCTGAGTGGAAGATGCTGATGAGCTGCATCACGATGCTAGGACTTAGCTGCTTTGGGGCTAGGTATACTCGTGCTGCTCCGAAATGATGCTTTGCAATTCTGAAAAGCTCTAGGTCAGACTCACCAGTTCAGTGTTCCCCGTGGCAAGAAGCACCAAGCTTCCTGAGCCTGGAGGATGGTGTCCTTGGCATTAGATTTGCAGTTAAACATTGTGGTGAAGATGTTCCTCACAGCTGGCGGACCAAAAACTAACCTGGAGAAATCAATTCTCTCTCGCAGTGGTACTCTTGAGCACTAGTCAAAACAAGGCTTGGGGTTTGCTCCTGTTTCAGGAGCGCGCAAATACGTAACCCAGGGAGAGCACAGACTGGTCAGAAAACTAATTTGAAAATACACCTATGTCTACACGAACTTGCACTGATACCAGTCATACTTACACAAATATAGAAGTACAGAAAACTTCACTACATTAAGACAGTGACCCAAACACTAGGGCAGAACCTATTTTAACCTATCACATTTAACTAAAGTTAGAAAACATATATATTTTAATACATGAACTCATTTCTTAACCTCAGTCTTGGATGTTGAAGAATACGAGATTCCACAAGTGAAGATTCAAAGAACATTTATCATCCCCCAAAAGGACCATGAATGGGAATGTCCTAAATCTATCCCTCCAGCTCCCATCCAACTATCCTTCCCTAGGAGCATTGCTAACTATAGGTTATATTGAAGTACAGTCTTAACTTCAGTCTTAGTCTTAAACTGCACTAAGACACCCAAGCCCCTTTTGTATTTAATACAGTACCAGAAGCCATCAAACATGTGCCGATATTATGAGCAAGCTCCGACAAACTCCAAAGCACACAGGAAACACAACTGCAATTCTTGGCAAAAAGGTGCAAAACAAGAGCAGAACTTGATATACTCACTTTTCTTACCAACATCTGTTCACAAACAGACACTGCAACAAATGGCAGAACTGGCTGCATTCTGGAAGACCCAGGGTACCTGTCCTGATTGTGCAGGTGGGCCTGAAAGGAGGAATCTGACACAGGCTGGTAGGAAACACCACCACCTTAACCGCTTGTAGGCGCATAAATAACAGGTCAAGTCTCAAACAAAATGTTTTCCATTTTAATGATTCAAATTGTAATTTTGCAGTACAATGAATTTAAAATTTTTCTTTAAAAAAATATCACAATTTTCAACATAGTTCTGCTAATAAAACTGTACTTGTTTTTTTTTTAAAAAAGAATATTTACAGAACTTTAAGAAAAACAAAATAAGACTTAAGCAGAGAAAAAAGGAAAAAAAGCAGAAAAGAACTTATGAGTAAACTATCAAGAGTAATAAGACTTCCCTACTGCTGCACTGATAAAACAGAAAGGATAAAATAGAAAGGATAAATACAGTTACAAAAAGATTTATTTTTGCATTTGCAGTTTTGCACAAGCACCCCATTACTCAGGGAGCACTATACATACAGGCAGATCTAAACAGATATCAAGGCTATATCTGTAAAAATACATTTTTATAGTATCAAAACTCACTGATTGCTTTACAAATCTGAGTTTAAAAATCCAAGTGCAAATCAATTCATATTTAAAACCTGCAGTTTCAATTACTGAATTGATTTAAAAACTGGTTCCGCAGCTGTAAATACTAATGTCTTGTTCTTGTACTTGTTCTTGATCTTGTTTTCCTGTCTGTTCCTCCCGCTGTCTGCTGGGTTGTTCCATCCCATTTGTCAAGTTCTTCTTTAGTTTTGTTTCTTCTTCCTTTTTGTAGAGACCCATTTTCATCATTCTCTGTTTGTAGACAAAAGCATTAACACTAAGTTTGTATCATAAATCACACATTCTATATAACATCCAATTTTCAGTTACATTGTTTTTAAAAGAAATGTCCCCACTGACTATATTCCAAAGATTACATCTATGAACTCGACAAACCAGTTACAAACCCCACATTTCTGCATATCCAATATCCTTTAAGATAGATCCCTGAGGACTTGCTGCTATTTCTGAAAGTAGGTTAACATTAATGAGAGCACCAAAACCAATTAGCTACTATTTCAGCTAAAATCCCTTTTACTGATATGTTAAACTAAAACATACCCAGCACTGACGTAAAACACTGCAGAAAATGAGTATTTTGTTTGGTTTTATGGTCCAAATAGAGTTAGCAAGTCAGATTTTCATTGGAAAGAATGGCCACCCATGCTAAACAGCACAGGAAATTGAGGTTACTCCAGGAGAGAAGCACCAGTATCAAACATGGAAACTACTATTAAAAAACACCGGCAGAAGAAATGACCTCCCTGGAAGAGAAGCGAGCCAGGCAGGTAGTGAAGAAGGGGGACAGCACTAGGGATGAACGCATAGGTACTTCTGCCAAGTACATATGGCAGGGTCAGAAGGCAGAAACTAGCAAACGTCTGAAGAAAGGAAGCAAAAGCCCAAAACTTTAGATAGAAGCAAGCCAAAATAGCCACACATGTTATAGGTGTTAAGGTACACGCAAAAGAGAGGTGAAAGAGGCAAAGAAATGAAACAGAAGCAGCATTCAATTCAAAATTGCCGTTTTAGTCAAGAAATTCCTAAGAGTCAGTTGTTATGTCCAATTGCATGTATGCACTAACGTATTTCTAATTATTTCATGTTAGCTTTTAAAGTTGCATCATATACAGCTGAAAATTTCAGAGAATATTTTGAACGTTGACAGCAAGAATTATATTGACTTGGGGAAAGTAAAACAGAGAGGGGGAAGGACAGGAAATCCATGGAACCTGTGCAAGGAAAGTCTCCCAGACACCAGGGTACAGGAGTAGCAGCTTGGGTGGCATTTAGGAAAAAGCAAGAGTGAAAAAGCTTGTGAATAAACACAAACCCATGATAATCACATTAAACCATAATCATTCTCCTGTATTCAGTTGCCACATATACTTTAAATTACAGGTTATGGAATGAGAATGAGGTATAGAAAAGCATGAGAACATTTGAGTAACCCAACAGAGACTAAATGCAGCTGTCAACCCACAAAAATCTAAACTTTCTACATAGGACACTTAGAGTAATAACTTCTACTTACTTCAGTCTTCACGCTACATTAAAGTACCATTCTGTATCTTCATCAGAATATGGCAGCCCACAGTAACATAAATTACAGGGTTTATTCACATTTGCTCACATTATTCATATACACAACTTAGTTATTCTTAGGAAATGCAAAGCAAATTTGAGCCTTACCTGATTTTAATTTTTTGGATGCTGAGTCATCTTCTGGCAACTGACATTTTCTTCTGCGAGTTGTTACCTGTGGGACAAGGTTAACCTCCCTTCCTCTTCTAGGGGGATTGCTTTTGGGGGGATCAGTGGATTTCAAACACTTATTTGGCATTTTTGACGTGCTCCCATTTTCTGGCAAGTTGCCATTATCATGGAGAGGAGCAGAGGCAGGTTCCTCTGATTCAAACTCTGTCTTTTTGCTTTTATTCCTCAGAGGCCTTGCTTTTTCCTGGGATGAATTATTATCCAGTGATGAATTTTTGTCTTCCTTAAAAGTATCTTTTTGATCTACGTCTTTGGGCAAACGTTTTTCCCTGAGAAAAGTGGAAGCAGCTTCTTCAGGTTTGAAGGAAACTGTTCTCTTTCTACTCGCTCTTGACAGGTGGGCAGGTGGCACTATTTCCACAGAGCAGCTCTGCTGCTCTTCACGAGTTTCATTCTTCCCACTGTCCTGCAAACCAACTTTACCTTGTGGGGAAGTGAACTGAACCTCTAACGAAGCGATCTTGGCTTTTTGCCTCGAGTTCGCTTTCACCAGATTCATTTTTTCTTGGGAAGCAGTGTTTTCCAAAATCACTTTTTCAGCTTTGTTTTCTTCTGATACCCCTCGTTTTCTCTGAATAGAAGTAGAACTTGTTGCTTCCGACAAGAGGGCAACTTCTTTCCTTCGGCCTCTCCTCAGCTGAGTTTCTTTCACAGATGAAGCAACGACAGCTTCTAAAGGCACCTCTTGATTTTCTTTAAGAGCCTTTTCTCCCCCATTATCTGCGGGCACACCACGTCTTCCTCGAAGAGAAATGCAATTAGTTGGGTGTGACATCAAAGCAGTTTCTTTCCTCCTGCCCCTTCCTAATGGTTTTTCTCTTGCAGGGGACACTGTTTCCAAAGGCAGATTTTGTTCTTCATTAGAACTCTTCTCTTTATCATCAGTTTCTGACAAGCCATGTTTTCTCTGGAGAGATGATGAACTTTTTGCCTCTGCTGCTGGATCAATCTTTTTTCTTTTGTCCCTTGCTGATGCATTTGATTTTGCCTGGGAAGTTTTATTTCCCAAAGCCGTATTTTGATCTTCTTTCACAGGCATCTTTTTATCATCACCTTCTGGCAACCCACGTCTTTTACTGACAGAAAGAGAACCAGTGGTTTGTGATGCTACAGCAACCTCTCCTCTTCTGCCCCATCTCAGTGGATTCTCTTCTGCCGAGGAGAGAGTAGCTTCCAAAGCTGGATCTTGATCTTTTACAAGAGTCTCATCTTTACTATGATCTTCAATTACTGTTAGTTTTTCAGCAGAGGTAGAACAAGCTGTAGGTGGAATGGAAGCAACTTGCCGCCTTCTGCTCCTCCTTACTTGTGAGGAAGCATTTTCTGAAGTACTAGGCTGACCACCTTTATCTGCTATTCCTTTTCCATCTCCAGGTAAGCTCTTTCCAAGTGCTTTGGAATTAGCTTCTTCAAGTTCAAAATTAACTCTTCTCCCTCTGCCTCTTCTAAGTGCAGTTCTATTTATTTGTGTTTGACCCTCTTGCACAATTTCAACTGGCTGAGCTTCAAGTCCTTCCTGCTCGTCTTCTGCCTGCTTTTGGCAGTTATGGTCCATGCTGTCACTGTCTGTAACAGGTACCTGAGCTGCTGCAGCTGCCTCATTCACATCCTTGTCACGGGGAGAGCTTAAACCACCCTGGACAGAAGTTTCCTCCAGCTCTGCTTCGGACTTGAGTTTGGGCACAGCTGCTTTTCTACTGCTTGCATCTTTGACGGGTTCATCAGCCTTTATCTCCAGAGAGTCCTTTTTGCCTCTCCTGTTTCTAGTTCTGCTCGTTTCCAAACGCAGATCAGCAGCAGGTGCTTTGTTTGTCTCTCCAGAAGGCGACTCTGACTTCAGTCTTTGAGACACCTCTGTTGCATTTTCCTGAACATTTTCAGCTGCTTTTCCCCGAGATACCTTTCTCTCATTTTTCATGTCCGATTGTGTTTCAAAAACAGTTTCCACAAAGGCTTCCTTGGCTTCTTGAATGTTTCGTATATCTTCAGGTGCCATCCTGCAATTTTCTGTTTTTATTTCAGTTTGCTTTCTAGTAGTTCTTATAGATTTTCCTCTTCTTCCTACCACCTTTATTTCTTGTTTACTTCTGACTTCAGGTTTTTCTAGGGCAGTCTCACTGATATTTTTGTCCAAAGCCTGTTCGTCTCCTGGTGCTATCTTTGCTGAAGGTTCCTTACGAAGCTTCCTTGCTGTCCCACGAGGTTCCTCTGAAGGCGATCGATTGCCTTGGTCATTTTTTCTTCTTCTTCCTCTTCTAGGTGAAATTACTGGTTCTGTGGTTTCTAGTTCTTTCTCTCCTTTAGATGCATTCCTTGGTGGCAGAAGCAGAGTTTCACTGTTTTCTATACTACCTTCTTTAGATTTGTGTTCTGTTATTTCAAATTCTGTTTGTAGAGGTTGGCAGTTTGCATTCTGAACATGACTAGACATACTTTCTGTCTTTATGCCTTGACCAGCTTCAGTTATTAATATATCAGTGACACCATACTTCTGCAGAGTCTGTTTTACATTTGCAGATTCTTCCTGTAGCAACGAAGAATCTTTGTCACGACACTCGACACTTTCACTTTGATGTTTTAACTGCTTTGGTTCATTCCTTTTACCTCGTCGTGGTCTTTGAGCAGCTCCACATAATTCCCCAGCTTCAGCATTTTTGTGATTCATGTGTTCTGAAACAGTTTCTTCTCGCACACAACGATTTGTTCTCCTTCCTCTTCCCAGACTTTTAGCTACTGAAGCATTAGCCACCTCCATCTCCTCTTGGATGCTCTTTTTTTCCAGAGCTTTCATTTCTTTTACATTTGCATCTTCCTCTAAATTCTTTTCATGCTGATTTACTGAAACAGGACACACCGTCTTTCTTGGTCTGCCCCTTGTTTGTCTCTTGGTACACTGCTCTTTGCTGGCTGATACTGTCTGTTGTGACTTTTCACCTTCTGAAATTTTTCCTTTGTCTGCTAAAAGTTTTTCACCCCATTCCAAGTGTTTACATGGAAAAGAACAAAAAAAAAAATTAGACATTTCTATGCTTGACCAAAGTATCTGTGAATTTTGAGCAGGACACTATTAGAGGAAAACAAAAAAGAAAACAGCGAACAATGAGTTCAAAAAAAGTTAGCTTTCCTAGTAAATTTTTTTGACTGCTGAAAGAAACTAGAGATTACTGTACAAGGATGCCTGGTTTATTTGGGAGGTAGTATTCACAGCTTCAAGCCATATTCTTGAAATTTTAAAGCACATATTTAAGCTTCATAGTACAGTTTATTACTCCTTTAATTAAAAATCAAAGCATTTGTACTTACCACATTCCTGAGTCGAATTTGCACAGGGAGGTATAGCATCCTCTTGCTCAAGATCCATTTTTACTGAACAGGTCTGAGGAATAAACAATAATCAATAAATTCACACAAAATTAGCAGTGGAATAATTGAAAAACTTCATGTCAAACACTTTTCTGAAAAACTGCAATTAACTTAGTTTGATAACTGCAACATAATGTATTTAATGTTAGCATACATTCATCCATCACACATTCCTTGTGAAAGACAGTATTGTATAAAGCCAAAAAAGCGTTCAGTAAATTGGCTTAAAAGGGCCCAAATGAGATCTCAAAAGTAATTTGGAATATTATTGGTAAGTAATTTGAGCATTTTAGAGTGTTTTATTGTAGTTCTACAGAGATACTCAACATTTATTTATAGATCTTAGAACATAAGAAAATCAACGCTGATAGAATTCACAAAAGACAAGAGCGATGAAGCTGTGACTACTAAGGTCAGGTTGGCCATGCAGAGGCATCCCAGCTACTGTTTAGATAGGGTTCATTCCTATATCCTAGACAGATATATGCATATATAGCCATCTCCAACAGGCAACTGACTGGGAGGCAAAAGAACAAAATTAAGGGCACAGTGAGTAGTCAACTGACCACAAAAACAATGCAATATTTAGCAAATGCTGAACAGTCTTGGATGTTCAAAGCAGAAAAAAGCTTCAGAGCCCATAGGGAAGCTGTGCAGAGGCTGGTTGTACAAAACACAAATCCAAGCACTTTTGAAAAGGACAGCAAATTTAGAAGCCAACAATAGTTTGTAAGCAATGTAAAGGATGCTTTAAACATAATGGAAACAAATAGCCTGAAAAAGAAGCACTCATGTTCGAATTTGCAATAAGCTATGTCTTTCAGCAGGACATTTCCCTCTAAAAAGCCATCAAGGAAGAGACTGCCAGTTTTTTAAAGTCTTCAAAGCAACACCACATGCTTTCCTAAAAGGCAGTTTTCCTCCAGAGCCTGGAATAGCAACATTTTTTAAAGAAATTTCATGCTATTACATACAAGATGTCATTATATGCAACTTAAGAGCTAGTTTCCACCACAGGTTCAAGTCAGTTCCTTCCAAGAGCTAAAGAATTTTACCTTTATTTCCTCTGGTATGTCAAACATCTCCTTAACTCCAGTAAATTCCACTTCAATATCTGAACATTTTTGCCTGGGTTCTGCCATGAGCTTCTTCAGACCCACAAAATCTTCAACTGGTTCACATTTCTCTTTTGGAGTCCTCACTAATCTACTAATTCCAAACACATCTTCTACTGGTTCAGCCTTTTCCTTTGGTGTCTTAAAAATACGACTGATCCCAATCATATCTTCTACTGGTTGATATTTTGTTTTTGGAGTTTTCTTGTTTATTGTAGTACTTGACATATCTGTTTCTGTTTCTACTGGAGTTTTGAGCAATCTTTTAAAGCCAATTTCATCTGTTGTAGCCTCTGATTTCTGCTTTGGGGTCCTCATGAGCTGCTTGACACCTGAAAGGACCTCAGCTGGCTCTGGTTTCTGTTTTGGGGTCCTCATGAGCTGCTTGACACCCGAGAGCACCTCAACTGGCTCCGGCTTCTGCTTTGGGGTCCTCATGAGCTGCTTGACACCTGAAAGGACCTCAGCTGGCTCTGGTTTCTGCTTTGGGGTCCTCATGAGCTGCTTGACACCTGAAAGGACCTCAGCTGGCTCTGGTTTCTGCTTTGGGGTCCTCATGAGCTGCTTGACACCTGAAAGGACCTCAGCTGGCTCTGGCTTCTGCTTTGGGGTCCTCATGAGCTGCTTGACACCTGAAAGGACTTCAACTGGCTCTGGCTTCTGCTTTGGGGTCCTCATGAGCTGCTTGACACCCGAGAGCACCTCTACTGGCTCCGGTTTTTGTTTTGGAGTTTTCATGATCCGCTTGACACCTGACAAGACGTCAACTGGCTCTGGCTTCTGCTTTGGGGTTCTCATGAGCTGCTTGACTCCTGAAAGGACCTCCACTGGCTCCAGCTTCTGCTTTGGAGTCCTGCCTTTCAATCCTAATTTCACCTGAGATGTACATTTTTTTGGATTTGTCAGCAAACTATCCATGCCAGCATTTTCTTCCTGCATGGCTTCCTGTTTTTCAGGAGTATTTGTGGAGACTGCATCAACCATAGACTTTAGAGAGCTTTCATCTCTCAGAAAATGACAGATATCTGGTTTCTGTTCGGAAGCATCTGAACTATTTAAGGGTGACACTATCATTTCTCCTGTTTAAAAAAAAAAAAGTTTATGTAATTTGGAAAAAAATTAAGCACAAAAACCAAACATTCTAATTGTTGTGTAACTAAGAACAGTTTCAAATTAACGGGGCTTTATACAACTAAAAATAAAAATGCTTCAGCATTTCACAGACTCACAGAATGATGGTTGGACTAGATTCTCCTGCACAAGCAGGGTCACCTAGAGCACATTTTGCAGGATCATGTCCAAGAGGCTTTGGAGTATCTCCAAGGAAAGAGACCTCACAGCTCTTCTAGACAACCTGTTCCAGGGCTCTGCCACTCTCCCAATCAAAAAGGTTTCCCCCAAATTCAGGCAGAATTTTCCAGTTTCAGTTTGTTGTCACTGGCTCTTGCCCTGCCACTGGCCACCACTGAAAATACTCTTGACACCCTTCCCTGGGCACCTCAGCCCTTAAGAGAAGGGTGGGAGGTGCTTTTGAAACACTTTTCTGGACACAGAAGAAAAATGACACCTGAGAAAGCGGATCTCTTCCTATAATAACTGGATTTGTGGATGAAGGGAGAGCACTGGACACTACTTGCTCTAGCTTTAGCAAAGATTAATAAAAGGCTGTAACAGCCAATATCTGACATCATCTTCAGGAAAATGAAAAAAATAAAGAAAAATTTACTAATATTGATTGTCTAGGTGCGCATTATACTGGACTCCCTTCTGATGTTAACAAGGTTTGTTGCATGTAAGAGATGAAGCAAACCAAAAAGCAATTCACTTTTTAAAAACCTAGAGGATTTATTTTTGACTCTCCTCTCCCATCCCGCCTGTGCTTCATTATTCAGTCACTGCTGCTAGATTCTGAGGAAGAGAGAAATTAAATTTAAGAGGTCTGAGTTCTTCAGGGTCAGATGCAAGACAAAAGTTAATACAAAGTTTCCAAATGATTTTTTTTTTTCCTCCCTTTTAGTAGACTTTTCTGGAAGATTGCACAGCATCTTCTTCCCCCTCATGAAATTTTATCACTGGATTTTGATGTATCCACATAGAACTGATTAAAGAACTATCATTCTTGAGCACAGTATTTGCCATGCTTTAAACTTGACGAAAGTAGCAGTACATGCCCCAGGTTTGCCCCCAAGTACATACAGAATCAAGTGAATAAGGAAATAACACCTATTCAAAAATGAACTAGAACTACCAAAATTTCTCTTAATACGTAACAAAGCAATTCATTTCATGCACTGCCAGATGCATCATCACTAGATATCAGGTCTACCTCGACTGACTACTCACTGAGACTCAAGCAGCAAGCTTCTCATTGCATTGCTACCCCTAAATACACCTAAACATTTACTCCTTTTCCACATAAGGACCATACCAGATTCTTCAGGAGTGTGCAGTTCAGAAACATCCACTGCTGAACATGTTGGTGTAAAATCAATCTTCTGAACAGGGGACAAAGATCTTCCTTTCCTGCTTTTATTTTCTGGAGTCTGAAACATCTCAGCCATCCCTACAAATTATAGTCAGAGAAGTAAACACGTTTTGACAAGAGAATTACATAGCTGGTATTGCAAATAATACACTTTAAAAGGACTTAATTTACCTGTGAAGCTTTCATTCATATCCATGCTTTGTTTCACGATAGGATTTTTTACCACTTTAGGGACCTGTCCAGCCATTCTGACTGTTGTGGTATAAGCCCTGCCCACAACTATGGTGGCAGGAGACTCTGCATGACCTGTACTAAAATGACCTTTTACTTTTCTTTCCGGAGTCTGCCAAGAGAGAAAACAAAAATATTGACGAGTTTAAAAAAAAGGAACATTCCCCTTTCGAATTGCAGCCGAGTTTGGACTGCAGAGAAGGGGCAAACACCACCTTTACCTAGAGACAGCCTGTTAAGATGACTAAGAGATTACTAGAAATTCACTTTCAGTTACACTAGTGGTTATCTATTTAACAGACTATAGCCACAAAACAGCAGCCTCCCACTAACAAATCTAGTCCTTTACATACTGGACTCACACAAAGTGTAAATAGGTCTCAGGTTTCTTGCACGCTGGGACCAAACCATCAATTATTATGATATTAAGATGTCCTAAACGTTGAAAATGCAGGTTTGCTGTTAATTTAAAAACTAAAATACCTTTGGTAACTGAGTTATCTTCTTTGTTGATCTTCCTTTTAGGACAGACTTTTTGATGGCTTTTGCTTGTGGTCTTGCAACACCTAACTTTACCACCTCTGCCCAGGACTTTGCAACTAGAAAGCAGAACAGAAATAACTTTAATTTTCCATTGTTCAAATCAAAGTTCACATTTATCTCTTTATGCTTCCAAATGATTTCTGCAGTGTGAGTTAGGGCACTGATCAATATGTTACCAGCAAACATCCATATTAAAGTGCTGCTTGAAAACACCTTCAAGTGGAAGGCCTAATGTCGGTCGAGGTTTAGCCAGTGTTCAGACTCCAGGATAACTGTTCTACAACCAAAACGACCCTTGCTTAGCACTAAACACTTTACAGATCATGGAAGAGAGAACTGACTCAGCTTTATCCTTTATCTTTTTGTTAAGGAAATATTTTCTCTCAAAGAAATCTGTCATGAGACTGAAAGTCTCACTCATTATTATACCTAAAAATTTTCCTTGGTGGATTTCACATTAGAGAGCCAGCTTTCAAGTGAGTTTTATCTAGCTCTCCTTTCATGAGCTTTCCAATGAACTTCACATTCAGGAAATTACATATATTGCTTACAGCATTTAGATCTTCACAGACTTTCCAAAATTCTTCTATCACCTTCTCCACATAATCTCCTTCTCTGTCAAGTCCTGAAGCAAGGTTACCTTTATCACAGCATTATTCTGCTCACTGCATAGTAATCAGGGAATTAATTACAGCTATGTAACAGATGAAGCTGTAAGTTGGTAGGACATCTGCCTTCTTTACTGAGAAAATGGGCGGTAAAGAGGCTGAGGTCACAAAGTGAAGAATTATTTTTGTGTTTAAAAGAAAGAAAAGTGAATGATATTACTGAAGAGTTGCTATTTTTTATTCTCTTGCCAGAGTCACTATGCAAATTGTGGCAAGTCTTCAAAACCAAACTTTTAAGTGTTTTCATCCTTAGGGTGCTGAGTTTATGCAGAAAATTGTCAAGCTATCTGTACATGCCAAGAGTTTTGTATACAACCTAGACATAAAAAAGTCAATATATTTAGCAACTGTAGGGCTATTTCCATTTTAGAGAGGAAACTAAGGCACAGACATTAAAAACCACTTTCACAGTACAGAGAAGTGGCGAGCAAAGGTATGACATTAATATTTGAAGTACTCTATAATGATGAATGGAATAAAGCAACTGAAAAGTTATGTTGAGTGAAAAAAATAAAGAATTGATCATAAAACTATCAAAATGCTTTCTCGTGAAGACATTCATTACTGTAAATAGCCTTGCAAAGAGAACCTTAATTCTAGCACTTCACTCAGCTTCTGAGTATTAGGATTCCTTTTTGTTCTAAATATACCTCTTTATGGTATATTTAATAACATGAGAGTCCATAAAATTTTGCAGTGCCGGATGCTTTCAAGAAAGCCAAAAACTGACATGAGATAAAACATTCATATTTGGTGGTCTTTGTTCAATAACTTTAAGGCCTACTTCAGTTCTGCTATTGTTTCTCAGAGCATTAAAACCCATATTAAAAAAATTAAATCTTTAACAAACCTAGCAAATTGGCACTGGAGGCACCACTTCTTCTTTTTGCATTAATAACTGCTACAGCCCCACTTCTCCTCTTCATGGGAGTGTTCTTCAAAGCAAGCTGTGCACTCCTTGTTAATTTGTTAGTTGCAGCTATTAAAGTTTCATCATCTTGGTTAATGCGAGAAGAATTGGGTGTTTTTACCCGAGCATTATTTCTCTCTTGGGGATTCACATCTTTTGCACCAGCATCCTGCTCCTCTGCAACTGGCGATGGCGTTGGGATGTGAGAAACAGAGAAACGGCCAGTAGTGTAAGGTTCTGGAGAGCTTAAATTTAATTTAGGTGTTGATTTTTTAGGTGTTGATTTTCCAGAAACAGGGCATGAGGCAGCTGGTGACCTCTGATTTGGTGAAGTTTTTTCTTTTGACAAGTGTTCAGGAAGTTCCTAGTAAGAAAAGAAAAAAATATATATTATCAATACAAAAATGTTATTGCACAAAACTACAAATGCTCATCTAAACCTTTAAAAGAAAAGGCAGTACTATATAAAAGGTCATCAAAAGAAAATTAAAATTTTATTCTCTAGAACGAAAACCCCAAAAGGTTTTAAATTTCAAAATAGTCTCCAGAGAAACTTGCAAATTCAGTTTAGTTGGGTAACTGAATTATTTAACTTAATTCAAAACTGCTGAATCTCATCAAGTGCAAGGCATGCATTTTAAATCAATAGCAAGTATTTCACATTTTTAACCAATGCACGTGATAACAGTCTGTCAACAAACTCCCACTCTAGACTGTGACTGGTTTGGGTTATTTATGCTAACTTGGAGCCTGTAGATACCGCTATTATACACAAACACACTCATTTAGACACTTTCATGAGGAAAAGCATGTGATATGAATAAAAACCCACCTCCCAGACATTTAGATACAAAGAGTAAGCTGAGCCACCTACAACTTCAATATGCATTAGAATGTCTGCTTCTCCTAAGGTACATCTAAAAAAATATAGAATTTATTTTGAATTCATTTTTCCAAGCTCTAGAATTTACAGATTTTGCTCATGTTATTTCTCTGGCAACTCTTAGCCTGAGCTTGAGGCTTACCTGGACTGCAAGGGGCTTCGATCCCTGAGCCTTCTTCAGAACGGCACGTGGAGAGCCCCCAAAGGGCACGCTCAGCCTTGCGGGAATTGCCCCTCTTTTAAGGGGCGAATTGGGAGGTAAACTTTTATCAAAGAGCTCGGGGCTCAGATGACCACCAAAAGACACTCTCTTTCTTTTTCCTAAGGGCTGATGTAACAAATCACCACTTTTCCTCTTCTGAGATATTCCTCTCGTATTACCTAGAAATACCAGGAATTGAAAGCATGACCGAGACCTCGGAAAAGTCCCCATTTTAACCAGCACCAACAGCAGTGGACTACTTGTGTGGTTTAAAGTTGGAAACCTATCAAATGATAATTCATTTTAAACAAAAACAGATTCAATTCCATAAACTTTTATGGATTAAAATTGTGTATTTTCATGGTTAACTATAATTACACAAACCTTTTGTGTAATTTGTTCCAAATTTTATGCAAATATAAAGTTTTGTTGAAAAGGCATAAGAGAACCTCAAGTGAGATTAATACTACTTACCTGATTCCTCTTCGTTGGCCAACAGGCTAGAAATACTTGTTTCTGCGACAACTTCATCTTCTTTAAGCACAGTAGAACATCCAGACCTCCTCTTTGCTGACAAGCTACGAGGTCTCGTATCACCAGCACCTTCCAAATCTAGTTTCTGTTGATCGGCCTTTGTGACCAGCTCCTCTTCAGTTCCAGCATCTTTTCCATCTGTAGTCTTATCTTGGTGATCCTGAACTGCTTCTGTCTCCACTGCCTTTTGAGATAGCAGCGCAGAGGTCCTTGGCCTACCCCTTTTCCTCCCAGGGCTGTTTTTCTGACTAGCAGGAGATACAACTTCTGGTGTTAATTCTTCTGAACGCTGCATCTCTGAACAGACACCATCATTTGACAATGCTTTACTTCGCCTGATGTTTCTCCTGGGACTCTTTGAATTAGGTAGCGAGGCAGGAGTTTCAGAATCTCTCTCTTCTGAGTTAACAACATCTGCCTGATCACAATTTTCTTTCAGTGCTTCCTCTTTTATGCATTTTCCTGGTGTATGTTGTTTACTACCACGTCTTTGTTTTAAACATGCATTTTCAGCCAAGGGCAGTTCTTCAAGGCTCTCACTTCTGCACAGTACATCTTCCTCCTGAGGTTCAGCTGAAATTTCTGAAAAAACCTTAGGTTCCAACAATACATCATGCTGATTTGTTGGAGCACCAACATTTACAGAACCCATTCCACTAATTTCCTTGGTGGATGACATAGGACGAGATCGAGAACTCCTTCTCTTGGACCTTGGCGTAGACAAGACACATGTATCTACTTCAGAAGCGCTGTTTTTGCTCGCTGCCTTTGTTAGAGCACTTGTTTGTGCTAGTTGCTCTGTTTTTCTTGCAGAAGAGGATATTCTATCTGCATAGCCCAAGCATTCTATGGAGCATGGCTTAGGTGAACATGCTGCATTTCCATTGTTATCTTCATTTGCTTTGGTTGCAACTTCAGTATCTTCAGGTTTGCCCAATGTATTTTGCTCTTTGTAATCCTGCAAGAGAATTTTCCTGCAAATGTTTCTTGACATCTCATTTGAAGCAGATTTTCGAGGACTCCTGGTAAAACTCCTCTTGGCTGCACTTCCCGTAGCTGCAATCAGATTAAATTCTGAACAAACCACTTCTTGTTTAACTTTATACTCTTCAGTTGTTTCTTTTTCTGTTTCTTTAGTCAGGCTTCCAAGACTGCGAGCATAATCTGATGACATCTGAGTGCTGGATTCTAGCAACACACTCTTGCCATCTTTCCTGGCTTGTTGAGATGCATTTCCTTCCTGCAGAGTTTTTTTCACTTTTATCTCATGCTTCAGTGTTTCATAGAGTTTACTGAAAGGAGACATTTCATTTTCCCTTTTATTAGATCGATTTATTCTGTACAAAGACTTGGTTGTTAGCTTGACAGATGAAACTTTATTTTCTTCCGTACTTTGTTTATTTTCATCAGCATTTTGCTTTTCACTCTTGGTATTATCTACAAAATAAGCAAAACAAAAGAAAAAATAGAATACAGACATATATTTACTTAAAAATGCAAGGCTAAGTTCCTTAATTACAGGTGAAAAGACCTTCCTTTTATCTCCCAAGGTGGCAGCATAAGAAAAATCCTTCTGCCTGCGGTAACAACTTTGTCCTAAGCACATTAGTACTGAAACGTTTATCATAAAAAGTTCGGATCTTCAATTTGGCCCATATTCTGATAGAGCACTTGCTATTACATACTGTTCATCTTTAAAATCCACCTAGATGGGGCGTCCCAAGATACATACATATGCATGAAGCGAAACAAACCACTATATCCAGTTCTTCATTTTGCATTTGCATTCTTTAGGGTAAAGGTAGTTAACAAGGTAGAGAGACAGGACGCAGTAAAGGACTGTGTGCACACTGCTATTCCATGGTCACTTGCAGACTGCCCTCAAGAAAGCTTGAAGCAACGTGCTTTCCATTTTCCATAAGCTGGTGGGGAGCTAACAGGGTTCATCTGATGAGCCCTCCAGGGCACAGGAGGCCAGGAGCTCATGAACATCTCCACATCTGCAAGGTCTCTTCCTCAGCACTACTTGGTGCCAGCATGAATGACTGCTGAAATAAACAGTGGGGTGTGTTGCCTTTCATTAGTTGTGCTGGGAAATAGTCTGTGTTAAGATCAAACTTAGAGATGTACAAGGAAGAAACAATTATCTTCCTTTCAGGAAGAGAAATGGGAAGAAAGGAGGGGTGAGAAAAGAGATCAGAGACAGCAGGAAATTAAACCTTTCTATAGAAAAGCTTGTGCCTAACCTGCACACAAGTGAACTACATTTTTTTGTTTTTTTTTCTTTAAATATTGACCGCAGAGACTGTTGCATGGTAAGAAGGTTCTAGGGAGACTTCTTAACCATATCCCATGAGTCCAGATGCACCCACAACCACCTACCCAGGCCATACACTTTGCTCCAATATTAAAAAAAAAAAAACCCAAAACACACTCACCCACCACCCCCAAAGATCTGTTGCAAAATGAATAGTATACACTTGCCTCTAGAATAATACTTTTTTTTTGGAATATTTTAAATCTCTGTAAGATTTGTTGAAATATTACATATTCCCACAAAAGAAGCTTTCTGAAGAAGGAAAGGATGAAGAAGTGATGCACTGACATTTAATCAGGCTGATTTATAATTACATGTAGTAGCTCTGAGGAAACAACTTTTTTTTTTTTTTTTTAAAAACAGAGCATATACAAAGTAGTTATTGTAAACTATCTCTTCAATCAGCAAAGTTAGTCTTTCCTATATATAAATATATATATTCTTTTTTTTGAATGTTTCCTTTTAACAGCACAGCTGAGAATATAAGATTGGCTCAACAGTAAACTGGACCTGATCTAGGTGAAGCAGAAATGCAAGTTAAATTTTAATCACAGGGATGAATTTACCATCAGTTACACTTATTTCTGTTGGAATGCAAAATACAAATTGAGTTTTACCTATCAGCTTCAATGGACATTTGTACTGCATTTGCAAAGCCAAAACACTGAACGTCTTCTTTGGTTGAAAGCTTCATATACTTTATCTGCACAGCTCATTCAAAACCATATATATACACACATATTTTGCCAATTCCAGTCTTATTCTTACCACCCATGCATTGGTTTCAACGACTTGCTTATCCTGGCAATCCTTATCTTCCCTAGGTGTCATAACACCTACGTATGTTATGACAAAGGTGAATTATACTCAGACCGAAAGGTCTTAAAATACATTCCTTCTGCTCCATGCAACCTTCTTCCTCTTGATGCTAAGGATAAAAGATAATGAAGGGAAAGAAGGAAAAAGACAAAAAATAGGTACTGACCAGAATCAGGAAGACTTTTAGATCCTGAAGCTTGTTTGTGTAACAATTCCACTTCTGCCACCTGCTGAACATGAAGAACCTGTAAATTTGTACAATATTACAGCAGAGCAACAGGTATTTTCTAGGCAGTTTAGGTTTCTACCATATAGCAGAAAACACTGATCTTATATGCAGAAACTGTGCATACAAAATAGATTTTAAAACAGCCAGATGAAATGGCAGGAGGGTATTTCAAAGTTTAAGAATATAGACTCGAATATATTCGATCCTCTATATAATAACAGCATAAATCTTATGAATGAAATTATGAGATCTAAAAGCAAGTATTTGTACATGCATATATACAAATACTTTCTTATAAGTGAAAAGGAAGATTTCACTTTAAAAGACCCCAGGGAAAACTTTTCATTTAAAACAGAAACACTGTAATATACCTAAATACCAATAATCACAGTATTTGCTAACTAAAAATACCCCCTTTAAGAAGAAGGCTTTTAATTTATCCAGAGATTGAGTTGGTTTGATATTTATAAATTCTAACAAAACACTAGTGTAATAGCACACAGAACTTTTTGTTTGTTTTTAAATCTGCCCAGTCTCCAATACAAATTTCCCCCTTTAAAGTAGGATTTCCAATGCCAATACTCTATGCTTCCTGCAGCCCATCCTTGGAATAGGCTAAGGATTATTTCCTAATAGCTTACCTGTATTACTAGCATCATAGATTATTATGTATTTACTACTAGAAACTGACAAGATTAAAATTAATAAACTAAAAACAAAGAAAAAGTTAGAGAGAAAAAGTTTATTTGAATTTTAAAACCAGAGAGCTAGTCTATGGTTCAAAAAATCGCTCCTAACAATATGAAAAAGACAAAATAGGGGAAATAATTACCATTTCAGTACTATTACCCATATACTTGCAATAATTAGGCTTATGGCAATGAAATTACCTGCAGTGTTTCATTTTTTGGAGATCGAGAACGTCTCTTTCTTGGAGTTGACTGGGGTGGATATTCAAACCTGAAAGAAATATTCAAAAAGTAAAATAACCATTCTTAATCAAACAGTTGATTATTGACTTGTGTTTGTTATGTTAAATGACAGAGTAAAACTTGTCATCTTCCAAACATCTATATATTTTTCTTTTAAAGGTTTTAACTATCTCAAAATACTTCCAACATTTCCCCTGAAAACAAGTGCCCTTGAAACAAAAATAAACTCTCTAGACAATTCTATCTTTATTACTTCAGCTTAGTGTAATATAAAAGTGATTAAAAAAAATCTTTAAGCAATCCTGCCATCTGAAGAAGGATAAAACTAGATAAAGAAATATGAAATAAACTTCTGCTTATGAAGATGGCAAAAGAACGTTTTAATTTCTCCCATTTATCTGCAGCCACTGCCTGTGCCTTCACCCAGCATTAAGAGCCTGGGTCCCCAGAGCTCTCCAGGCACTTTGCCTGCAGAACCCTCTTTGGGAGGAAGGCAGTAGCAGCTGTAGTTACCTGAAAGAACGATCGATAATAGTTAACACATCCCCGTGCTTCAGAGGTACAGGCTGCTGAAAACAACCACCATTCAGTTGCGTTGGATTTACTGCGCTTAAGTTAGTCAGTACTGCCTGAAAATGAAACAAACAGTTGAGTAGCTGGAAGAGATGCAACGGTGCGATTTAAGTGCTGCTAAAATGTGCACATCTTACCTCTTTGTTTTCATTTACTTCAATTTTGCAGTGTTCTTTAGAGACCTGGGGCAACTGAATGCGAATATCACATTCGGTTTTCCTATGGGTGAAAATACAATTCCAGCTTTAATGCATACATAAAATAGAAATATCTGTTTGCTATGTAATTAGATAATTTTCCAACTTTTAAGCAAGTAATTTGTATAGCTGCACAACACTGTCAAATTTGATAGCGTAGAACATAACTACAGCATATTTTTTTTTACTTCCACTCTAGAAGTGAAGCCCGCTCTGCAGATCTGCAGCTCTGTCCATAACGCAGTAGTTGCAACATGCTTGCCCTCACTCATCAGTATCACCAATAAATATTTGTATTCTCTCAAACTTGTACCAAATGGACTAGTACCAAATGGACTCGTCATACAAGTATCAGACAGCTCTTTCTGATGTAGTCGACAAAAATTAATGTTTGTAAAATTATATATCAGCTGCCTGAACAGCTCTGCAGAAGCCCAACAACAACACTGCTGACACTGAAGTGTCACTGAAGACTTCAGCAAGCAATCTGATTCACAACTGAATCATTACCTACTTATCTAAGTGCTGTATCAATGAGAAAAGTACTGAAAAAAATCTGGTTTGAGAGAAACAAAAACACTTTATTTGAAGCACTATTTATACTAAGGTCACTTAGTCAAGACTTCACATATCTTCAAGTATACTAATATCATCATGTTTGACTTAAAATAGTTATACCCCTTAAAAAAAATAGAACTAAGCTTAACTAGTTTCCTTCACTGCCATTCAATTGTTCAAAACAAAGTGAGTTTCAAGCTTGGATGAGAAGGGGTTGGTTCAATTTTTAAGATGTTATCAACTGTAAAGACCGAGGTCCTGGAGAGCCAAAGAGAGAACAGGAAGAGCTCGCCTGCGTGATGAGGCTGGTGCAAGGCATGTACTTGTCTCTGTACTGGTAAGCTCTCCAGCATCTCTAATTCTGCCTTGAATACTTCACTTAGAAACTACCAATATTATCGATTGTTTGTCAACTGTAATTTACTTTTAGTCTCTGTTTTTGCGATTGTTTTGATACAAAGTCTTTTAGCATGTACTAACATTATCCCAGCGCACACAAGTACTCAGCTGCTTCTCACCTTCCAAATAAACAGGAGCTTGCAGTGAGTGGGAAATGGATCCCATCAGTCCCGTTCCGCTTAATCACAATGATTTTCCCGAAGAGTGGCATCTTCGCTTTAACCTACGCGAGGAATCTTACCTAGAAAAGGACATCTCAATTACTCTTCCAAATAATATACAGGAATAGAGTCATACAAGTCGTATTTACTCCCGCAAATAGTTTGCTTCACCAGATGACTCCTGCAAGGTGGAGGATGCAGCTTGGTGCGGTGGGGACCTGAAATGTGCCCCGAGGTCTCGCTGTGATCGAACACAGCGAGTTGAAGGCACCGAGAGCTCAGGGATGCCAACGTTTATGCACCACAGCGAGGGCAGCCACTGTGGGTCTGTGCAAACTGAGTTTATATTGAGTATTTTTACACGTAAAGCAAGCAGATCTTTTCTAGGAAGCTGGTGGAGGAGTAAAGGAAACAAACCTGTCAGGGTATCTTCGCAAAGGTGAAAGCAGAAGCACTATGTGGTGTGAAAAGCGGAGCCAATCAGTATAAAATGAATAAATCCTGAACGCACCAAAGCGTTGCTGGCCTCGTGCCCAAGTGTCAGGCAGGCAGAGGGAGCCGGTGCCCTTAATAACAGCTTAAAAGCAGCCGAAAGCAGCAGGAGCACCACCACGTACCACCACCGAGTGTTAATTCGAAAGAGACTGGCTGGGAAGAGTTCTAACTTCTTAGGGCTAAGAGTCACCACATGTTAAAGGGCACTTGGTACTCCGCGCTAAACAACGGCATTAAGAGATACATGAAACTAGAATAGCTTCTTTTCCCTATCGCTAAGCACGGGGACACCGTATACTTTAAATTTATGCCGCGCTTAGCTTTGGAAACTTGTCTCTAACTTTTAAAACGCCCCCCGCCAAGCGCGAGGCAGCGGCCTCCGTTCCCGGCGGCGGCCGGCAGGTCGCGGCAGCCCCGCGCGGCGGCAGCCCCGCGCGGCGCCCCCCCCGCGGCCCCCGCTGCCCGCCGGGCCGGCCCGGACGCCTCCTACCTGCGGCGGGGCCCTGGCGGCCGCCCCGGAGCGCGGCGGCGGCGGCGGCGGCTCCCGTCAGGGCGCGGCGCCCACTGTCGCTTCCCGCGCGCCTCAGCCCTCGCACCTGCCGCCGGCGCCGCCTCACCGCGCGTATCCCTGCGCTGCGCCGCGACGGGCAGCGGCACCGACGGCCTCCAAACCGCGCCCGCTGCCCGCCCGCCCTCACCTGCCGATGGCGGCCGCGGGTGGCGGCGCGCGGGGAGGTCGGCCGCCGGAAGGGGGCGGCCCTCGGCGGACGGACTCTTTTACCTCCGGTCACGCTCGCGCGGCGGAAGGATAAAAGCAGCGCGGCCGCAACGCCGAGAGTGGATTCGAAAAGGCGCGCGGCGGGTTGCCATTGGTGGGAGGGCGGTGACGTCACTGCGCGGCGGGGCCAATGGGGAGCGCGGCGGCGGTTTGATTTCAAACGGACGCGCGCGCGCGCTTGGCGCTGTTCCCTCCTCCCCCATCGCCTCAGCCCCGGCCCGGGCGAAATGGCGGCCGCGAGGGCGGTACCGGCAGCCCCGGCCCGGCCGGGCCCGGAGCCCCCTCGGCGCCCGCGGACGGAGCCCCGGGCTCGGCCGCCGCGTCTGGGCGGCGAAACGGGCCCTCCCGCGGGTTGTGCCGCCCCCGCGTCACCCGGCAGCTGCTGCCTGGAGCCCTGCCGGCTATAGCCACCTTGCGTGATCGAGAATAAAAATAGTTTTAATCACAAAAATACATATTTATGTGTATATACATATATTTTTCTTAGTTTCTAAGACTCAGACGAGCACCGTGCTGTGACGCGTGGGCTAATCCGTGCCTTTAAAAGTGTCAACTCTCCTATGGCAGTTTACATACTAATATTATCATTTAAATACATAAGGTTGTGAAGTTTTTACGTGATCTCAGTGAAGTTTCTGCAGCAAGCTGCAAAGTGTTTCAGCATATGCCTGTGTAAATTTAAAGGTGAATCTTCCTCACGATATTAGAAATGAGAAAAGATGATTCAGTAAATAGGCAAGGAGAGGAAGTTATTTCCAAGCCATGCTGCTCTTCACTTCCGATCTCGGATCAGAAAAGCTTTTCCACATTAACTGCAGCCCTTTCCACAGTACACAAGGTACTAAAAAGGAAGAATAAGAATCAGCTCTTAAAATTGTGCAGAAGACTTAATAAATAAGTGCAATAAACAACAATAAATAAAGAACTTACAGGTTACATTTTAAATGAACTTCCTTATGTAGACCGTGCAGGTTGGAAATTACTGGGGTTTTTTTTTCCCTCTATATTGTAACTACCGAAGAGAAATGGATAAATATTTAATACTAAAGCCTGGCTGGGATGCTCTAAAGAAAAAACACCTTATAGGAATAGGGTGATTGCAAGGGGCACAGTATTGATGATATGCTGTATCAATACAGTATATGTTGATAATGTAGCATATTATCAAGGACATATAAAGCAAAAACATTTGGGTACTGTACTCCATCAGAAAACAAACTGTATTTTTGCCATAATTAAGTTACAACAGAGACAGCTGTCCCCATTTCCCTGTTTTCTACTGACAAATTTTACAAGTTTCCTCTTGCCCCAGATCAGGGCAGGAGGAGAACCAGAGGGAAAGCAGATTTTTCAATGTCTGATATTTAATTATTTGATAAATAAGTACGCAGTAGTGTCATATCAAATCTGGTAACCTCAACTCTAAGTTAATAAAGTTAACTCTACAAGGTCATTCAATAATTTGTGCTTCAGGGGATAAAATTTTAATATTCAGATCTTCCACAAAGCAGTTATTCTTTTGATATTTTTCGTATTTAATCATCTAGGTTTTCTCATCTGCTTTTTTATTTGTATGATGACTTCAGGGAACTTTAGATGTGATACAGTTAGATATAAGCATTTTTTAAAAACATTATTTTTTTCTTTTGAATTAAATTACTCTGAAATTCCCTTCATAAGCTTTGGTGTGGTTTTAGAGTGTTAAATCATTAATTCATCATACTTCAATATCCTGCAATAGCCTTTTGCTACTGGCAGCCTTACACGTAGATGTAAAACACTGAGAAGAATCAGATTTATAACGAAGAGAATCATTATCAATAAGGAGATATCAAGGGCCAGCCCTTCTCAGGTGTCCTTGCAAACAATTATTCCCAAACTCTGTATCTAAAGGGATCTGTTTGTACCAGGAAAACAGGAAAGCTCTTTAAAAGCCTAAGTCATTCCAGTCTCTGCTAGCCCATCGAACCAAATTGATGGACAGAAGTGCACTTTGGCTGCTACCAGTGAACAGACACTCAGCTGGCCTCTTACAAAGAGCTATAGTGATTCTGTAGAGAAAAAATAAAGTATTTTGGTGTATGACAATAATTTTACATTCAGGCACGATCATACGGTGGTGTATTAGTGCACTTATCACAGAAAATCCTATCGCATCCCTTGTGATAAATGTCCCTGCAAGCACAGAAATACCTACAAGAAAATGCAAATTGTGAAGGTTTTGAGCCCGGCTTTAAATCTGTCTTCAAGAGCAACAGTAGCCTCTTCAATAAGTGGTATACAAATATTTGCAAAAATAGATTTATAGGATGGGAAGTCATGACACTTTCTTTATGATTTACTTTGTATCTGTGGCACTTTGTATCTGTGATCATTTAATTTAGTAGGAGCACAAGCCGGTAAATATCTTTGTGTACAATATGAAGTAAAACTGTCAGCTTTCAAAACTGTGTTGAAAAATAGTCCTTGAATCTCCTTGCCAGTTATACTGACTTCTATTTTTTTAAACTTGGCCTATTGGAAGGAATTTGAGAATAGATACGTCACTGAGATCCACCAGTGTGAATCTATGAGCTTTTTCTGGGTTTACCAGTGGAAAATTGTGACACAGTAATATATATAAAGTAAATATATATATATCAATATATATCAATATATATATAAAACACCTTCCTTTAATCATAAAAGCATATTGGGGCTGAAGACTTGTGCCAGGAGTAGCACTAACAAAATTTACACCTAGTAAATAATGATTAATCTCCGAATTTCTAACCAAAAAAGTGTTTCTGTAGATGCAGTTAGCATAAATACAACGTTACTTTCATCACGTATCAATTTGCAATTTGATTTTATGAACATTTCTTAGGCATTCTGAGAAAAACATATGCTTCAGGCTGGGTCAAGATAAGTCTAGTAATTAAATCATTTATTTTATGGTAAAGCTCTGGAAATTTGCTTTGCAATTGATTGGCTTCTAACGGCGCCCTATTACACTGACACGTTACTGCACCTAAAACTCTTTTATGTTCGTATTCATAGCGCAGAACCTGATTTTGACAATTTTTTCCCATGTGGCAGGAATCTGCATAAGTTTACGAACAAATTGGATATGTTTTACAAAATGCTTCATATTAAATTCAAATTTAATAAATGCTTTGAAATAATCCATGTCTCTTTCTTTTAAATGATAAAAGTACCAAACGCAACCAACTATCCAGGGAAACAAACTGAAAGATCAAGCTCCTGCATGTGATGCAAAGAACTAACAATTATTTTAAAGCAAAAACTTCTGGCTTTTGCTAAATCAAAGTTCATCTTGAAAATGATCTTTCTAATAGTCTGCTTTCACGTAAAGCCTTCTAAGCCCCAAAAGACGATGGGCAAGCAAACTACACAATGTCATGATGAGATCTATCACTTTTTTAATGTAAATGATTGCTTTGCAGTCTTATCTGGGACTGAGAACTTATTATTTCAATGCAAGTCAATAAAAACTTGCCTATTATAAAGGCGCAGAACTGATCAGATAACAACATGTTGCCCACCAAAAATATATGATTGACAACTCTAGACACAAAAGCAGTGAAACTCCTGCACTTCAGGAACAAAATCCTTATGGTTTTGCTCTTACAATGGATCAATTTCTCCTCAAAAAGGTGGCCAGAAGAGGCACTTTACACAGCCCTTTCAGTTCTTCTCCAGAGCTGCTGCTTTCAGGAGAGTTTAATGATTTTAATGATTTACACTGTGGTTTGTTGTGAATGGTGGGACCGCTCTGAGCTCCCTTGCCACAGCTGAACTGGACACCACAGTTCAGTCTAGCCCATCTTTCCTAATACAAGATCAATAAAGCAAAGCATAAATTGAGCTTCCTAAGCTGGTATCACTGCAATTATACTAAATAATTCTTTTTCTAGCTCTGCAGGAGTGACACGGCATTGCTTTTCTTTGCACGCATCTCTTTATATGGCCTGAAATAACTATATTGGGCTCCACTTGCTCAGTTTCGGTTCCATGTTCATAAATAGTGTGTGATTTTCATGAATATAGTGGAACAAACATCAGTTCAATGGGAGCAGTTGAAAGAAAAGTACTGGCAAAAGTAGTTTTGACAGAAAAGTACTAAAAAATCTTTTCACCTGATAATCTGACACTAATTCTCACCCCCTACACAAATCAGAACAGAAACAGCTAAAAAGCTTTACATGGAAAGCTGTTATTAAAATAATACCTAAGTTACAACATAATCTTCTAATACACAAGGTGAAAAAATCTTAGTGAAGTTAATTTGCCTGAAGAATTCTCAGCTGCATTGAACAACTTCTGTGATTAAGGAAAGCTTACCTTGGATGTGCCGTACCGCTCTGTATCAAAAAATCTTTGATCTTGCTCATTCTACATGATTTCAACTATTTAGAGAGATATTTAGGAACAATTTACAATTAAGATTTGTTCTTTTTAAAAAGCCAGTTTCTTAAAAAAAAAGGAATCTTCTGAGAGAAACACTAGCAGTATGCTAGTTTGCATTACAAATATTTATTTGTAAAGTTTAGAAGTACAAAACAAACAAACAAAAATCATGTGCAGATTCTCATGAGATAAGAAAATAGCTCAAGAAACACATGACAAAATTAGGTCTTTAATTAAATAAAATATACATATGTAAGCAGCATTAGAAAAAGTATCATATTTTCTGTATATTTGTGTTATTTCTGTGTGCCAGCACAGTCCTAGGATGTTTCTGTTTCTCAACTGATTTCTCCATGAAAATGGAACTTTTGAATAGAGCAGAGGGCTACGCTGTGAGAAAACCATTTGCACTATTTGAATCTTGATGATACTGTCACCTTCGCCCCGAAATCCCATCTTATTGGATATTTGGAGTCAAATATGACCAACAAACCTCACTTGCCATGCAGCCCGTCAGCTGCTTTAAAGACATGAGGGCCAACGATCCCAAGTCTTTTCTGCAGCTTTAGTGTTAATAAAAACACTAGCAGTGATTGGCTCTGTAGTTAACAAAGATGCATTTAATTTTCATCTTTAATACAAAGGGATAAATAGAAGCATATGAACACCTAAAAACATCTTTTTGTCTCTTAAGTTGTAGTCCTTTTCCGACTTGAAAAATCCCAAACCAGCACTATGATATTTACACACAGAACCTCATTACGTGAGGAATGGTGCAGATCTGTAGTAATCAATAATTTTCTTTATCAATAATTATTAACAAATAATTGATCAGGTAATAATCACTGCTTAATGTTCTTGCACAGAAGTATCTGTCTGGTCCCATACAAAGCTATGTATGGGCTCCCGAGGTGGACATCTAGAGAGGATGCTAGAAATGTGAGATGCAACCACACAAATTACTTTCCCAGCTTACCTGGAATTACAAGAACAGTTTTCCCATGTAACGCAAAACATTTGTCTTGACTTGGTCCTATCTGGTATCGCACTGAGAACAGACACTATTTTCCTAAATATTATTTTCTTAAAGGCTCTTGTGCATCGCAGTGCAGAATGTCCCTGTATTTAAAATTTAGCAGCAAATTCTTGATCACTGAATATATCTTTTCAGGAAAGCAGGGGCATCTCCTTGAGATGTGCATAATAATTGCAACTTTCTGAGAGCAGCACTTCAGCGCAGTTATTCTTGGCAAATGTTGCTACCAATAGTACTTCTGGATTGTTCGCTTTCTGTTAAAAAGTAGCAGGATTACAGAGAAAAATGCTTTAATAGGTTAACCTATAGGGTGCAGAAGAGATGCGCAGAAACTAAAGTTCTTCCAACTTAAATTTGGAAAAATAAATAAATAAATCGGAACATTATCTACATTTAAAAAGCAACCTCCCAAAAGATAAACATGAGGGATATCAGATGAAACAGCGTTAAAAGGGTTAAACTCAACATTGCTTTATTAAATTGTATTTCACCAAAGAAAAAAAAAAAAGATTTTTCTTTTTTTCTTTTTCTAATCTCAATACTGCTAGATGTACTAGATGGAGGTTAGGCTACTCATCTCTTTCAGTACACTTATTTCCTTATTTCTGGTTTACATAAACATCCTGGACACCTTTCCCAAGAGCAGCCCGTCCTGGTTATTCAGGAAGCCCAACACCAAGCCTGTGCAAGGCAATGGAAAGGAGGGGGCCCAAGGCCTGGCCCTGCTCTCCCGATGCTGGAAGGAAGGGCTGCAGGAAGGGCACGATAAGGACCAAAAGTCCTTGTGCTGGGTGCCCTGCTAGGTGCTGTAGGGGCACAATTTACATCATTGCATTTATGCGCCTAAGGGAAGACTGCAATGGGGCTGCTCATGTTGCAAAGGTCTCTTGCCTTGCTTATCAATAGCCCTTTGCCAAGCTAAGTCTTCAAATTGTTATCAGGAGTTTACTCGACATGCACAATACCTCAGCTGCAACATAAATCAGAAAGGCATTTCTGAAATAGCTGCACATTATAAGTACTGAAAAATTATCTGTCTAGATAACGGATTTCAGCTCCTTTAGAATACTTAATTTAAATGGACACAGTATGGGAATGAAATTAAAAGATTTAGGGGAAAGAATGCAGTTTGAGAATAAAACACAGCTTTGTTCTTGCATCAGAATGTATTAGATCTTGCAATTTGCATATACAAATAATTCCGCAACATTCACTGGCATTAAAAACACAGCGAGATCAAATTATAAATGTAATAAAAGAAAATAATAATGGCTGAAACTGTATAATACATACATATATTATAAAGATTTGACAAATTAAATACAATTTGGTTATACAGAAAAGTTTCAGTAACTTCATACTGAAAAGGATGTTAGGGAAATGAAAACATTCAATATACTGAACACAGGTGGTCAGGCTCATTTTAAAAGTTTAAAAAACTGATACATAAAAATACTCTAAAAAACACTGGTAATTACAGTATGCATTCTTCATTAAGGCCCAATTCAGCAAAGCACTTAAGGGATTGCTTCAGGAACAAAGAACTTGCGATACTTGAATATTTTGTGGCACAGAGATGTCGGAAAGCAAATGCTTAAATGCTTGGGTGGACTGGGACCTACCTTAACACAGCAAAACAGACACTCAGGTCACATAGTGACCAAAACCACGCACGGATCAGAAGGTACAATTTCCAATCACTGTTTGGCATTGTAAATTAATCCCATGCAACATAGAAAAATTTAAAAGAAAATCATATGACTTGATTGAGATATAGCTCCTTCATTATCGGGCTGCTGGAGTTAAATGCAACAGTCCATTGACCAAATGCCAGAAGTGGAAAGTAAGCTTTCCAATGACTTGAGAAGTCCTAACACAGCCATATTTATGATTTCTGAAGTATATTCTAGGTATTTCAGTTTCCTCATAGATACATTTTAATGTGGTTAGCAACTAAAATCAGAGTACCCACATTGGTTTTCACATTGAGTTTATTTGGTGGCTTTTAAAAATGGTATAAAATCTCAGCATGCAGTAGCAACGTGAGCTTACTTGGCATCCTTTCCTCTAGACAACGTCTTCTGCAATGCGAGTGCAGTTCCCAAGAGCAGCTCAGAACAAACGCCTAGTCTTTAAATAATCTTTCTTCTTCAAGTGCATAATTTACTGTACAAATAAATACAGAAGTGCGTCACTGGGAAGACAAGAAGCAGTAAATGGCAGTGTTCAGAACAGTGTGCCTAGAGATTTCTGAACTGCACCCTTTCCTTTGCATTGTTAGGAAATAAAAATGCTCTTTAGCATGGGAGAGTAAAAATGGTCGTGGTGTAGAACAGTGCAAGAGCAACAGGGAAAGAATCAGTGTAGGCGGCTGATTTTAAATAAGGCTTTTATGTTTGCACTGAGAAAACCCAACCAATTGGCCAAGACAGAACTATTGCATATTAGTTATGTAATTAAAGGACATATCATCATACTTTGTGCTCATTAATTCATATAAGCATTTTAAAGAGTGGAAAATATATATATAATTTTTTAAATTTTCCAACATTCAGATATGCTGTGATTTTTTTTTTTTTCAGATTTCCCAAACCCCAGCAAATCCCATTCAGGACTGTGATAAAGATTTTTAAAATTTATTTTACCAATCAGATTTTCAGTAGTACTTTCAGTAAAAATATATCTATATACACAGTCATATATCTCCTTTGGATAAAGGGAACATTTTTCTGGACAATTATATGGGGAGTTTATTTTAAGAATATACATTTTAAAAGAGCTTTTTGCTACAGTGTTTACTGCTAGCATTATGCAGTTAGCAAAGTATTTTTTTTTTTCAAAATACTGCTAATTCTGTTGATTTTAATCAAAAAGTGATACTCTGTCTTCATCTTATTCTCTTTCAGTGGGGAAAGCTATGCACATATCTATCAAAGCTTTATATCAATTTTTGATAATGGCTACAAAGCTTCTTCAAGTAGACAAATTCAGATGCAGCAAAATACACTCTCTGATATGCAAAACATTCTCAAAATAGTGGTAAACTCACATCATTGTACCTCTAAATTGACTTAAGCTGGTGTAAAATGAAAATAAAAATAGACTTTGAAAACTAAATTAAACTAAACGCTTCAAATCTGTATTCATAATGATTACACCTCTTGGACAGTAAGACACAAAACAGAACCACCATCAACCTGCAGTTTTTAGAAAAACAGATTTTAAAAGCAGTTCTATTTTTCACTTGGACTGCGCATTGTCCCACATGAAGAGCCATATTCTGACAACCTCTGTCATTAACAGCACTTCACTCATTGAGCAGACTCTTGACCTTCAATGAGACTATTGGAAATAAAATACAAATAAGCAGGAGTAGTTTATCAGAATGTGCCCCCAAATGAAGAATATTGTTGTTTGCTGCTGACTGAAATGGAGAAAGATTTATGGCGAAAACACATTTAGCTAAAACATATGTATCACAATTCATCTGTCTGGTATGAAATGTAATGAGCTACATAAAGCTTCGAGAATTGGGAAATAACATTGATAAATATTTCTAAGGGAAAAAAATGCAAAGAAATAAACCCTCAAGAATTAATTTACTGTTATTTAGAATAAAGATTTCCATAGCTTTTTAGAATGATATACTGTATATGAATATTATAATTTGCTTTTAAAGGTATTTATATTTAAGAAAATTTTATACAGCAATGCAACTTTTAGAGCAAACACAAGGTCCTATTTACAGTAGAAGTCAACAATAAGAGTGACATAAAATAAATTAACAGAATATACAACTATTTATACCAACAACTTAAAAAATAAGGCAGGAGTTTTCATTTGAAATTAGCATAATCGGAAAATATGTCGATGAAATCTTGTACCACTCTGTAGCAGAATTCATACTGTTCCTGAAAGACAAGAAAAAGGTATTAAAATGTACTTCGATTGCATAGTAAGATAAAATAGGAGCAAAACACAAGTGATAAATGCAACAGGTTCCAGCTTGGTCTACACAAGCTGGACCTACTGATCCATAGGGCTCAGAGGGTGAGCAGGGATCCCACGGGATAATCCCCCGTGCCTGTTTCTCCTGTGCCAGGGATCCAATGGCCCCTCTCTCCTCCTCATCACTGGCTGGCAGACTCTCTGGGCTGCCCCGCATCCATTTTTATTCCTCTATTTTAAAGAGTGTTCTGAGATAACTGCTTTTAAAAGTTCCTAATTGCTGAAGGGAATATGCTATTAGGCTGAAAATAAGAACAATTTTACATATAGTCCAAAAAGGTACACATTCAAGCAACTCTGATGTTTATTGATCAAGGACAAGTATCCGCACTAAGCTTCACATATTATTTGTGGTGAACTATAAACCAGTCAAAATCATCTTTCCTGTTAGTGAAGAACTGGAAGCCAAGTTAAGCCCAGACTTTTTTAACATAGGATAACGTGTTAGAGAAGAACTGCAGGCCAATTTAAGCCCATATTTTTTTTTAACATAGGATCAAATATCTGTTGTATAGCTTAAAAGCCATTTACACTTCATATGCTTGTCATCAGCAAAACACAGGATCCATCACCCATTCTTAAAGACCACAGAGCTTTAAGTCACGTTGTATTTTTAGAGACTGTAGAGTAAAAACACAGATTTCTACTAATACTGTATACAGAGTCATCATACATAATTTATTTCAGCCTGCAAAAGCCTACTTTGTTCTCCTCCCCCAAGAATATTTACAAACACGTGTCCCTTGACAAAGATGCTGATTGTTAAATATCATACCAGTGTTTGCACCATGTGCGGTCTTTGCAGTCTTAAGCTCTTCACAGCTTGAAAAACATCTAAGAGCCCTTCAGCCTTTACTCGTTCCAGAATATTGCTGAGTGCTATGAATGTACCTGTTCTTCCGGCGCCAGCACTGCAACATAAACATATTTGCTTGACATAGCAGGATAAAAAAGGGAAAAAAGAAATAATAGTGATATAGGATACCTGAATACTACTACCAGCCAACTTCTTATTTATCTGTGATTATTTTAATCACCCAGGCTTTGCCAGGTGATTGATTACTATAATAATTCTGCAGCCAGAATTAATCAAAATTTAGTTGGAAGCAATAAAGGCCCATTAGTCACAGCTTATATACTCAAGGAAGAGATTCCAGAGCTGGCGGAGATAACACAAAGTATGAGCCAAAGTCTGAAAGACTCAGAAACTTTGCCAGTTCATCATCTTCCTTCAATCTAAATTAGTGTTCAGCAACAACAAAATTCCGGTGCTCTCACACTCTGCTTTTTGTTTTGATGTGACAGGAGCACAACACAGTCTTTAGACTTTTAATGGCAGAACTTGGTTATCAGAACGCGCCCCTAAATAAAGACTATTTTCACTTGCATTGACTTCAGTGACACAAAGATGCATGGTGTGATCACATCCACACATTTCAAGACATGATTTATCTCTCTTCTTCATGGGCAAATATGAAAGGATATTATTATTATTATTAACTGAAAGTTTTCAATGAGAAGTTTCATATCCGACTATCATGATTTTAATGACTTGTGATGAAACCGTTTCTTCTCAAACAGCAAATACAAGAAATGAAGGACAACTATTCTGCCTCTAACTTATCTATGACGAGAAGTCCAAACATGGTTGCGTTTAGTGTGATTGACTCAATATATTTTGACCCTACATATACTTGAGATCATAAATTTGTGGAAATGAAATATATCTGAATATCACATTTGTTATGCCTAATATCATAGCCATACCAAAGACTTTGCTTTTCCTCTCCTGATCACAGTTTTGTTGGGATGGAGCTAAAACCGGTGGCTGTGCACTGGAAGGTAAATAGCTTCGGTAGGGAAAGTTATTAACAGGGAGGAATTGGAGATTGGGTATCAGGGATAATACAAATGAAAGGTTCACTGAATTGCTGAACAAGGATAAATGCAAAATAATTTATTAAATTTAAACTTTTAATGCCTTTAAATGATTCATAAGAAGATGAATCATAATAGCAGGTCATTTCTTCTACCTTATTTCCATTAAAAACAGAAAAACCTTCTAATGAGCATGGCCTTGCGGAAAGATTAAGTGCAAATGCATGTATCCTCAGCTGGATACATAAGAAGTCTGGGGAAAAACGAACAGGCAAGATGTATTGGATGTGTTATTCCCTTCAGATAATTACTTTTATCAGATTAAAGACAAATGCAACATTTTAAAAGATTGAGATTTACGTGTAATTAGCTAATCTCTGGGAACCATCTCAAAGCCCTGCGAGAGCCCCATTTTGGAGTAAGTTCACAGCTACAAAGAGATGGAAAAATAAAGGCACAAAGCACAGGCATATTTGTAAAGCAGCACACTTAGACCATCACACGTGCTGCTTATTCAGCTGTGGGCAAAAGAGGCAGATAGATGTTGCTTTCAGTATTTTCTGTTTATATTTTTCTTGTATATAAGAATTTACAGAAGGGAAAGCTCCAATCCACAGATGTGGCTGGAGACAAACACAGGGGAGGAGAAGAGAGCTAGAAGATGGGAACAGATTCTCATTGCATTCTGCTCACAAGTCAGTCCATAAACCCCCAAATATTTAGAGTTTTATCATTATTCTACAGAACAACTATCTTTGTTAGGGCTTCCTTAAACCATTCCTAAACAGTTGGGGAAAAAATGAACAAAAGTTTTCAAGAGGTCATGTGAATACTGAAAAAAAATGGTCTTAGACTTTTAGTGTGCTTACCTACTGATACACTGGTACTCATTTATTTTGGAAGATGCTGGCATGACTTCACGGAGAAGTTCATATAACTTTCAAAAACCTATACAATGGGGGTAGGAGGGAGTTCTAAACATTAATAGGTCTAGAACGTAATTATTCTGTGGTTTGGGTTTTTATTTTCTAATTGTTTTAAGAATCATTGGAGTTAAATGGAGAGGGGGGTGGAAAACTAGGGAAGAATGTACCCCAAAAGATACTGGGAATGTAACCATTGTGTAGTGCCAGATGGGAACTCAAAAAAACATTTCAAAAAGAAATATATTTTTCAAAGAACCCTAGGAGATATTCAAATAAAAAAGGACAGTTTGGAGAAAAAGACAAACGCTGGCAGACGACAAACATGTATTCTACTTTTGATGCACCAAGTCCTACTTCAGCTACTCCTTAGCATTAAGCATCATTTTCTCTGTCCTCCTCACTCCTCCTTCTATGGGCTTTACAGGCCACAGATAGATTTTTGCCTTCAGTTTGGATTGGAGATACTCTCCTGCTCATTTGTAGGACAGCAGCTGCATTTCCATCCCGTCAGACCACTGGAGCAGAACACTGGTGGGGTGTGCCACATCGCTTCCATAATCCCACTCTCCAAGCCACGGCATTGAACAACCTCCTGCTACAGCTCCCTAAGAAACCAAGGCACCTGTTTATTCCCTACCCATTAAGGGCAATTTAGCAAAAGAAATCACAAATCCTTTACCGAATCCTAATTTATGGGGGTTTTGCTGTTATGAATGGGGAATACAGAGCAAGCGGGAGCCCACCTGCAGTGCACCGTGATGGGGTGGTTTCCCGTCTGCTGCTGCTGCTTCTGCACGGCCGCGATCAGGTCGATCATCCCCTTCCCTTCGGCGGGAATGCCGATCTCCGGCCAGCCGTGGAAGTGGAACTGCCGCACCAGCCTGCTCTGCTTCTCCTGGTTGCTCTGCACGGGCACAAACCATCCCATTTGAGGCAGTTAGCGTTTCAAAACGGAAACGTGCTTCTTTCTTTAAATACTCTTCATATAGATTTTGTTCCATACTGATAGGAGGCTCTGCTCTGACAACCCAGCAGTCAGGCAGACCTCAGAGTCCTCAGCCCCTCCACACTGCTGATAATTCACCTCTATAGTTTCCCTTTTGATTTGCAGAGCTGTTTCATTTGAGTAGTTCTAAGGATATATGCGCTTAGAGGTTACCACTTTCAGCATCAATCATTTATGACTTTTATCATCCAAAGAAAATAAAGTGTTGGTAAACGATTAAAAAAATATCAGTTCAAGAAACTCACTCACCTTTCTCACCTTTTTTCAATATCAACTTGGTTAAATTTTACCATAAAAAAAAAAAAAAAGTTTTCCATGCCTATATGTTTGCTAATTAAAAGCAGCCCTAAATAGGTATTCATGTCATGCTAATTTTGTCACATAATGTGAATGTTATTTCATTATTTTGAATATAATGCAACAGGTTGACAGTTTCTGGCTTAGAATGGACCTTATTAATAGTGTTATAATTCTACCGTTAAAGATGAGGAGGAGAAATAGAAAATAATCTGAGGGAAAAAAATATATAGTTTGATGTTGGTACTTTTTTTTTAATGTAACTAGCAGTAGAGGAATTTTCTGATTCTGTGTTATTTACTTTTGTTCTAGAAACTACTGCTAAAGTGAACTAGATTGGAACCAATGCTAATAATATTATTATTAATAATATAAAATAACCACAATACCTGACTGTATGTAATGATGAAGTCCCTTACACTGATGGCATCTAAAAGACTGTCATTCTTGATTTCTACTGTTATTTCTCCATGAGTCACAGAGCCCTCCGATGGCCAGTACTGGAAGCATTTTTCCTGCAAAATTGAAAGAGAGTCATAAGTATTCCTTGATTTTTTTTTTCAATTATGCGATTTTCACTTTAAAAAAAGTGTTCTAAACCCTTTGGAGTGGAATGACTAATAACCCTTTGGTTTATATAGCAGTGAAGCATTTCCACAAAATTAACTTTAAGGATAACATTAGGATATCCTAACGTTAGGATAATTGAGACAGAGAAACTAAGCATTGCTTTATAAACAGGTTAGAATAAAATTATCCCCTAAATATGATGGAATGTTTTTAAAGTCTCCCAAAAGCAAACACCACCTTGCAGATCGTTATGGGAACACCCTGGCCAACAAGGGGAGCCCTGAATCTCCATCACTGAACACAGAGGGAAACAGGAGGGATACACAAAATGCAGAAAAGTGCATTAATTATGCACTTTAATTACGTAATAATTATAATATTTATATAATATAATAATATAATAATTTCCATATAATATAATTAAAATATTTAATTATGCAGATTTGCAGGTATCAGATAGTTTATCTAATGCTGACACTCCTCTTTATTGCATTCGGAAAGCACCAAGGAGGGGGATTACAAGTGCTGAAGGAAAGAGCGTGGCCAGCGGTACCTGCTCCCTCTCCTGGAGCTCGGTGAGCATGACCACCGTGTGGCACTTCCACTCCCACACCATGCGCCAGAAATCCTCCACCGTGTGCGGCAGCGGGCCCTGCGTGGCAATGAAATAATCCTTCTGGCGATAGCCCTGCGCGGGGAAGAGCACATATATCCATGAGTTTCCCATGCCATTATTCCAAACCTGGGATGCATCTGGGAACCGTCTTCAGACCTCACGCCAACCTCATGACAACAACCGTGCCCCTCAACAGGCAACGGATCTACACATTCAAAGGGTTGTAAGTCATGAAGAGGGAAGTAATAACAAATATACTTAATTGTTCCATTATTCCAAGGAACTCAATAAGTTGCAATCAAATGTCACTCACTCACTGCCAGAAATGCAGTAAAAATACGCGCACACACACACTAAAAAAGGCATAGTCATGAGATGTAAAAATATATATTTTAGAGAAACCGTAAGACTACTTGCATTCTAGAAACACGCTTAACTATCATGGTTAAATTAAGGTCCTTTTGGAAGAAAGGACCACCGTTTCAGGCTAGGTCATTGCAGATGAGGTTTTGGTCCAGTTGTTCTCACGAGGAGGATACTGAAGCCCATCAACCACTGCAGTTATTGGCCTCCCTGCAGAATCACTGGGGAACTCGCTGCCTCACCTACAGGTCCAGTTACGTATGGATGTGCTACTTTATAACGAGTATCCAAGAGCCTCAATCACTAATAGGCTTTTATTGCTTAAGGATATAATTAATCCTCATATTTAAATAAAACTGAAACCCAATAGATAGCATTGTGCAAACTTCCATCAGCAAGGCAGGAGCAAAGTAAGGGATTAAACCAAGTCCTCTCACATACATCAGAGCTCCCAAATACTCTTATACCCTTTCTCCATACCAAATGGGCTGTGTTTTTTCTTTGCCAGTCGACAAAGTGCACATTTGCTTTATATTGTAGCTTACGTGCAGATACGGGAGTAGTTAGTTCCAATTATAACTGTTAGTAGTACAGCTAATTAACCCGTAACGGCTTGTTTTCTTAGAATTTAATAAAAACTATAGTTTATAAATCTAAGCACGAGAATAACTCAAGCACGTAACTATTTGAACTGAAATTGAAAACACTGGAGTAAGATAAGAAATGTATGTGAAAACTCTCATAAGCAAAACCCAAACAAAAACGCTAAAGATCTCCATAAGCAAGGATGATGATGAGTCTTTTTAAAGAGACTTTTATCAGCAACCAAATATTGACTTTCAGCTTAAATATATTTAAAGTTTTTATACATACATCTATGAAGGAAGCATTGATGTAGTCTGTATACTCTTGACCTCTTTTCATTGACAGAATCACTCTATTAAAATCATCTGAAAAATAAAAACAAATATCTCTCCTTGCTTTTGCTAACTATATGTTGACTGCCCCGTTATAACCTTGGAAAGAAGAGCATGAAAAATTTGCCTGAAAACCAGGAAGAATGATTTAAAGGTCTTATCCAGGATTTACTAAACGCATGGGGAAGGGTGCTCAGGTTCCTGGGGATTTTTTGTTGTTTTTATTTATTTTTTTTAAACATTCCCCCCCAAGATAGAATTAAAAAGTTCAGCAACTTTCCTTTTCACACTCAGTCACCTCGAGAGGATGAATCACAGCAGAATACAGGAAATTTGGCTACTGAAAAAGTGGAACTGCTGCATTACCTCATCCCATCCTGAAAAATATCTGATCACAATGTATTTCATGCTTGCAAACATTCTGCAAGGTTGCTGAGCTGCTGCTCTCACTGTCAAGAGCTCTTGCGTTCATCCCAATGCCCTTAGGCTCTTACGTGAGATGCGATGCTACCAGCACATAACCAACATGCTTAATTCTGACCACGTTACAGTTATCATGTATTATAACACTTGTTTCAAGAGATACAAAGCTGATCTTACACGGAATTATCTGGATGACTCTGGCTTTTTTCATGTTTGCTGGAAGATTGCCAGTCCTCATGTTTTCCTTCATTATTCGAACATTGGTTAGTTTCTGTAATAAAACACAGAGATTCGGATAAGGACCAAGAGAAATAGAAACAGTTCCTTCTCCCTGTCATTCTCATGTTTTTTAGGTATCTTTTTGGTTTAACTGCTGAAACCTAACCTTCTCCACGTACCTTAAATTCTTCTTCTAGCCCTATTTTGACGAGATTTGGTGCTGTGCTGTGTGACGTCTGTAGATGTTTTTCTAGGGATGACACATCGAGTTCTGTGTCCCCGTAGAGGTAGTATTCAAGTAAGGCTTGGTAAATGAATGAATATTGCATCTGCAAGGAGCAAACAGCAGGCACTGTAAGTAAGCAGACTGGAAACAGCAAAGCTGCAGCAAATCTGGCTCTTCCTTTTCTCTCATTTGCTTGACTATCATCAAAACACAGTTCAAGCTAAAACTAAGTTTTCTATTTTATGGCTCACATTCTATAATATTCTATGCTTTTACATGCAGTGATTACATCCACATTTCCCCTAAATAAAACACGCCTTATGGGGGTTTTAGCACAACCCAACTTGTCTGGATCTTCTTCTCCAACCTTTTGCTGCTGGGTTTTGCTCAGCTTGCAATAACCCAGCTGGGTGACAGAGGCACGTGCTACTTTAAATTTGAAAAGCAGTAATTCTGGATGGTTAAGAGGCTACTTACGTCAGTCTGAACCATTTGCGGGCGCTGATTCCGTATTCTTGAGACAAACTCAAAAACATCAACTCTCTGTTCAGCGTGCATCATGTCGATTATGGCATCTATAACGATAAACGTGCCCGTTCGACCCACACCAGCACTTCAAAAGAAAAAAGACACTTAAATGAACTACAAAGTCCTCATGGATTGCTACAACAAAGACACAGGCAGAACTCAGGCTGGATTGAATTACTGGCCAACACAACATCTCATTTTTCACTCATAGAGGTATCAATACAAAAGGAGCTCAGCTTTTAAAAAGTCACCCTTTTCTTCTGACTCAGAAATTTTAAGACTGAAATTATATTAAAAAAGATCTTTGAAAAAAAATGACTGTAATTATTCAATCTAAGGATATATTTTTCAATAGTTTTTCCCAGTTCCAAGAGCCTTTTTGTTTTGTTGCATGCTATTTTGAAAACATTAAGCTAACAAGTTCTACACCGTTTAATGCAGCTACTGCAAACTACTGTTTTACATCCCCCTTCAGGGGCCACGAGAGGGAGCAAGACTATTATAAATTACCCGACTTCGCTGCCTTGCAGCTCTTCCTTTCAGAGGAAAAGGGCATGGCATCCTGTGCTAGGCATTAATAGCTCTCCTTTAACCTTCTGTTCACTTGCTTGGCTGTGATGTCAGAGAAACAGTTTCTAAATCAGGGCAAAAATTTCTCCCCTGACCCAAGTGTTCTCAAAGACGCAGACTATTTTTCAGCAAGGGAATTTTAAGCTTTAAGTAATACTATAAAAACTAACAGCAATACGTAGTGGTACTAACTGCACGCATAGTGCTACTTAGCTCATATGTGTGTACAGATTTATGTACAGATTTATGTACACACATAGTCTTAACAGCAAATACTATGTAAAAATCAAAATACTGCTCCAGTTGTGCTTGGAGTGATGTTGCTGAACCAACTTCTGCCAAGCCAAGCAGGCAAATCAAGGAACTTGGCTCTCTGCGGAAACAGCTCCGAGGTACCAAGTCCATTGTATCCTTCTACCTGCACATTCCTCCTTGTTTACTCCTGGCTTTGGCCGGTTCCTCTCCTTTCCCTTTTCCCCTTTTCCAGGCCTTTTGCAGGCATTTCCTCCCATTGGCACCGCAGTGACCTCGGCTGGGCCCGGAGCCCGGCTGGCCTCCTGCTTCCGCACGCTCCCGCTTTGCCAGGCCCAGCTCAGCATCCCCTAGGCCTGACTCACACCCAACAGATATTTCCCTCTTCCCGTGCGGGAAGGCCTCCGAGCGAGGCTCGCGCATCTCCAGTTCCCGCTCGTCCTCCTGTACCCCTGCCAGCCCTGCGCTCGGCCTCCCACCTTCTCCTCCCTTTGCTGCCACCATCCCGTTTTCCAGACCCATCTTCCCTTCCGCACTTAACCCTTTCCCCACCTCCCGTCAGCTCACTCGGGAGCAGCTTTGCTCCTTCCATGCTTGCTCAGCCTTGCTAAGGCTGATAATTTTGACACCTGCCTCAAAACCTTTTGGTTTTACCCATCTTCTGGGTTGCCTTTACTTTGTTTTTCCCCCTCATTTTTTTTCCCCTCACTGTTTAAGAGAGTAACATTTGAAACACATATTTTGGTAGAAACTTCCCTTTTCCCCCTCCACCACATTTTATCTGCTGCTCTTTACTTCCAAATGTTGATTTTTTCACTAACATAGAAGAGTCCAGCTGAGCTCTTTCTATTTTGGGTGACCTTTTCCTAAACGGCTCCCTCTGAAATCCACCGTTACGATCCAGGAGTTTCCGCAATGCAGCAGTGTCACATCCGGAGCAGTAAAGGAAATTAGGAGTCACCTATTTCTAAAGCAAGCGGAAGTTCCGTGCTAGTCCCACACACCAACACGTTGTGGTGCTGCCGGGGTCCGTTGGATCATTACATTTAATGCATCTTTGTAATGAGAGGTTTTATTTTTACCGTTTCTTACCATTTCCTACTTCAGATAGCCTAAATAAAGAGTATTGACCAGGTCAAAAACAAAGCTTAAACCCAGTATTAGCCCCCACTGAACACCACAGAAAAACACTATATGTGGGTTTTCATAGGAAAGATTATGCAAGGCAACTAAAATCTTATTTTTTTTTTCCTCTTACATTTTACTTTGGAGATTCACAAGTTCTAGCACAGCAAGTCTGAGTGGAACTGAGGGAAAAGGCTGGCTGGTCGTGACAAACACACTCTTTTCAGCAGAGCACAATGAAGCTCCAGAGGCTCTTTGAGTCTTTCTAGATGTCTAGCATAGATCTAAAACCATCTCCTTAAGCAAAGATCAGAAAGATAAAGTTTTTTTTGCTTCTAACCTCAGTAACAGTTCCCAAGATGACACTTATTGCTTAGCTGTAAGCCTACAGCTACTGATGATGTTTTATTTATTCTTTTAAAATTGATTTGGAATTTGTTTGTTGTTTTATTAACATTAAATTTCCAAAACATTCAGCACAACTGTTTAAAAGCAGGAAAAATAAGTATTTGTGACTTGCCAAGTATAAATACATTCTGCATTGGTACTCTGGTACATTTTCAAAATTGCAGAATTTAAATCTCTTAAATGCAAGTCTTCCTTTAAAAAAAATCTACCCATTTCATGGATAATTTATATAGCAAATGGCAATTTTGTTGTGGGAAAAATGAGGGATGAATTCTCAGAGGAGCAGCTGCTGGCAAAGGTCAGGGATTTGTACGACGAGTCAGTTTTTCTGACAAAGGACATATTTATGCCAAAGGCTGGATCTCACTCAGAGATAAAAACTTCTGTTTCAGTATTAAAGTGACAGCAGGACAGAGCTTTTGAATTCGTTCTTACCTTGGGCTCTAAGAAAAACCTGGAATATTATTGCAACTTAAAATATCTATCTATATATATATATATGTATATATTTTTTATATATATAATATATATATTTTATATATATGTATGTATGTATGTATGTATTATATATTTAAAGCCTTTAACAGAAAATATTGAGGTTTGGCATTTTATATACAATCCCAGCCCGAGTTAGCAGAGTGCCATGGAGAGCACGTACATACCTACAGTGCACCACGATTGGTCCGGCATGAGCAGGATTCAGTGTTTTGACTTTTTTCAGGAATTTCAGCATGCCGATCGGCGTGAAAGGCACTCCAAAGTCAGGCCAGCTGGTGAAATGGAGCTGCGTAACAAGCCTTGGAGCTTTACAACCATCGTGAAGCTGCCAGGAACACACAGGAACACTCTGAGTTTTGACATTTCAGGTTTCAGGCCAAGATTTATATACAAAATACTATACTACTACTACTACTACTACTACTACTACTTATTATTACTACTACTACTACTACTACTACTACTACTACTACTTGTGTTTCTTCAACATTTAGATCCTGAGTCAAAGATTAGAAGTTTACGGGACACGCACCATACAGAGAGTAAGATTATCTTTTTTTTTTTCCAGTGAAAAACAGAATAATGCAAGGATAGAATATGCGAAGAATGAGATTGTTAATTTATGTTAACAATGCTAACAATCTAAAGTCTTTTTTTCCTCACTTATCAAATCCTTATGGCACTCTTAACAGCATCAAATGAGGAAGTCTGGTCCAAAATTTCAAGTTCTTTGTAAAACACGAGATGCAAAATGCACCCGATGTATGTGGACACACATCTGACAACACCAGCTGCTAGTACTACATGTTTGCATCTCACCAGTCCATTTTACACTTGAAAAATGAAAGGGAGAAGAGCTACGGACTTGAGGAGAAGGGCTAGTGGTCATGTAAGACCGTTGCAGGAACTGATGAGCTCTAAGATAAGAGATACTGCAGAGGCAACGGCAGTATAGCCACAGCCTTCTGTTTCACCTGCATTTATCAACCACTATCTGTTCTTAAGCTCAGATGGTAGAAAATGTCTCCAAGATGATCAAACCATCCCCTCTTTTATTTATTAATTTTTTTTATTCTCCTTTCTTCAAGGCAGTTATACAAGGTGCTAACCAAGGTCATTTATTTCAATTTGGGGAACTGGTTTGCTCGGTAAGCCTGCATGGTCTCCCTCAACGGAGAACCAAATCCTGCAAACACATGTTCAGTAGAGATAAGATTCAGCAGTAGCTCTGACTTTGGCCAACTAATATCCATAGCCTACTCTAAATAACCACATATATCCAAATTCACTCTTCTTCTTTTAATCTATGGCACTCTCCCTGCCAATCCAAATGATGGAGCGCAGGCAGTATGTGGCTACAGGACCAAAAATAAGGACAACCTACTGTATTGAGTTGCAGCCAACACCGAATGCATCACCATGCCATGCCTGCCTCTAGCAGTACAACACCTCCCTTGATTTGCAAATATATTTAACCAATTTTCTAAATTTCTTTTAAGCCAACGTTTTCCACTGTAATAATTTGCTTTAAAAATAAACTGAAGACCCAGCAAGACCCTGTTCCTTACAGACTGAACGCAGAACTTGCGAATGGTGTAGTCCACGAGGACGATGCAATCCTCCACCGACACGCGGATATTTCCATACGTCCAGCAGCCCTGGTCAGGCCAGTACTGATAGCATTTGTCCTGCATAAACATACAGCCCGTTTTATAGCACTCAGACAAACGTCCTTATTGATCACGCAGAGAATAATACAGCTATTTGAAAATAATGTACATAAGTCTGTATAGGAGCAAACAGCGTTTAACTATCTGAAATATTATAACATTTTGCTCAGACTACTGGTGCTTTTATTTACATGGAGAAGGGTAAGAACAGCCTTGGAGTTTCTTTTTTTATGAAACAGACATTTCTGGGGTTTTTTTTGTTTGGTTTTTTTTTTTGGCTGAGGGTTTTGGAGGGCTTTTGGACAATATAGAGAACTTTCGGTATCTCGGCCCTTTATCTTCTAGGTGCAGTTAATGAGAAATGGAAGGCAGCCCTCACGTGGGAGTCATCAGGAACACGAAGTTTCAGCTCTAGCTTCTCAGATTAGAAGCTCTTAGAGCTTGATATGCCCTTTGCTCTTAGAGCTTGATATGACAATACCATAGACAGACTAAAAGAGGAGCTGAACCACCCTGAATAGACAAAAAGAAACGTCTCTCCTCAAAACTGCTCACAGTCTCTTGATCAACTTTATTGTTGCAAAAAAAAGTACAAAATAGCTATAAAAGGACACTCGGAAAGACTGATATGGAATATTGCTTATCACAAACACATCCCCGTCTTCTTCCCAAGGAGAGTAAACCACTAGACTTTATCAACATTATTTCACAACTGGCAGGAGAGGTCACCCTTGAGCAGTGGAAAATAAGGCAGTGTTCCCAGTAACCAGATCATATTCCCATCTACTTCCCCTCCTTACTTTCACAGCTATAGGGAACCCACGGCTACAGTTTGATTTGGGGGAGTTCAGCTGAGGATGTAGCACAATGAACATAGCAAACGAAGTAAAATAAAAAAAGCAGCTCTTTTTAAAGTTATTTTTGATAGTGCACTTCCTTAGTTGTTTCTTTAACTTAGCTTCTTTAATCTGCGAAGCAAAGATGTTAAACACATTAACATTTTAGTTAGTGTCTCGGTGTTCAGCCAATGCCCTTCAAGGAGAAGAGGACAGTAAGGGGGGAGCGTGGGAACACAGAGCAACAGATTTACCGTCACGAGAAAGAAGTTGCTTCTTAATGGTTAACCGCATACGCCAAAAAATCATTTTGAAACAGAATACTCAAATAAAAGGAATAATGCTCTCATCTTCATCTCTAGCCAAAAGAAAAAGTCTAAATCCAGAATACAGCCTTACTTGCACTGTGACAAAAGAAGAATTTGCCTTTGGCTACAAATGGGCTACAGGGGACAAAACTACCATCTGATATTTTTCCTTGGTAACCATTCACAAAACTTTTATCTTGAAAAGTAAAACCATGGTTTTTAGCAGAAACTTAGACATGTTGAGAGGACGGGAAGGGGAAGTGGTGTGAAACACTAATGGCCAAACACCAAGCTGCCCCAGAGCACGGTTTGGAGCACTCATTCCAGGGGAGACCCAAAATCGGACCTGCAGTTACTCACCTCTTTTCTTTCTTTCAGGTTTGTTAACATGACGATAACTGCAGACTTCTGCTCCCATATCATCCTCCAGAAATCACTGACTGTTTCTTGTTTAGGTCCTGAGTACACAGAGGACAGGACAGTTCCGTTGAAGAGACATCAAAACGACCAGGAGCATCAGGGCTGACCCCAGGTGCCCACCCACAGCTAGGATGGCCTCAAAATTCCCAAGAATTTCAATATACCATGAACCCTTCTTAAAAAAAAAAAAAAAATGTTTTCTTTTATATAGCTCCATGCAGGGAGACTTTTACTGCATAAGGAGGTTGTGTCATTTCTAAGAAGTCTTTGAAACAGTCATAAGGTTGAGCAGAAGGGCTGAGGGAGCGATTGGTCACAGCGCCACTCCCCTATCTACTCTAGCATGATCTTTCCTCCTTCAAACTCGCAGTAATTGTCTAAAAAAGAAAAATTTAAAAAAAAAAAAAAAAGGAAGAAAGGGAAAAAAGTAGCAGACTTCTTCACTAAAGACAGTAGAGACTCCAGGTCTACAGGCAGTAGGTTACCATTTCCTTTAAACTATCCCCTCTAAATCCCATCTCATATTTGGTCATCATCTATGCCCAAAGACAACGTGAAGATATTTCTGATGCTGTGTGTTTTAGTTTTAAAATGAACGCAAAGGAGAGATGAAAATAAATTACCTTGTGCCGCTATAAACTTATTCTTTTCTTTGTAACCCTGAGGAAATAAATATTACGGTTAGTTAAAAGATGAAGTGTCAGAATGTTCTAGAAGACAAACACCTATTTAATATTAATTTCTAGTCAAATCTGCAGTTTGACTAACAGCGGGAAACCATTAACTTACGTCTATGTAGGATGCGTTAATGTAGTCTGAAGATGGGACTCCATCTATTTGGGTCAAAATCACTCTGGAGTGGTCATCTGGAAGAGAACACATTACAAGCACATTAACATCAGAGCTGCAACTTTAGAATCCATCCAAAATACTCGCCAAGAACTAATGTATCAGGGCAGGAAACAGGCATTTTAAAAAAGAAGGGGAAAAAAAAAAAAAGAAAAAATAAATAAAGAACATCTGTGCCCAGCAAAGTTGCATTCCTGTAGCAGTTCCAGGATGCCCCATGCCATTTGGACAGATAACCCGATGATTTAACTAAAAAGTTGCATCTTACACGGCAGGATGTTGGGATATCTGTTCTTTTCCCTGTTTTCTTCCTTATTTGCCATTTCAAATGTTCCCTGCACATGGCCGGTTGGCAATGACTGAAAGAGAAAGGAGACATCACACCCAAGGTCAGTGTGTTTTAACAGGGCTAAACAGTAACCACACACGGCTCTCAGAAAAGCCTTATTTACATGCAAGGTTTCACATATATTGCAAAATATATATAAATTTCAAAATTAAACATGCCTCAGTTTCTTTCTTCAACAACTTTCCCTGGCTAATCTAAAATAAGAAGCGATGCCCGGGTGGCTCTCACTGCCGAAAACCAGCTCAGCAGTTTGGAGGGAAGATGCTGTTTTTCCATGAGCCATCGATGGCAGCTATTCCGGGCACGTTTCTGCTGGGAAATGCCATCTGCACCGTGACTCAGAGGCGGCGACCCCGTCACATGGGTGCTGAGACACCAGCCTCTGCAGCCCCGCTGTGGCACCCACTTCCAGCAGCTGCGTTTTGGGGTGCTCAGCCTGGCACTACATGGTTGTCCCCTGCTGCAGCTCACCCCAAGAGTCCCAGCTATACTTTTCTTGGTAAAAATCAACCAAATTAAGATTGCAGATAAATGCAGTCACGCACTAACTTGACTGAATGGCTACAATTGCAATAGCTAAAAATGAGAATGCAGAGCAATGAGAACAAGCAGCAAGGAGGAAGAAGCTTCAATGCTTTAAAAAAAGGCTACCCACTTAAAAGGAAGATACTTTAGGCAAACTAATCAAGTCCATAATTGAGTGAAATCCACACTTTTCCTAAAATACATGTATATGTATGTAATATACATACATACACACACACACAGAGGATACAACAAGTTGCATGCAAAGTCTATAAACCCTGAAACTATGTTTTTCATTAAAGTATAGTTAGTCCTTCAAACAAGGTTTTGAGCATCACAGGCCAGGCAGCAGGTTGCTAACAGGGCAGGCACCTGGTTCTGCACCCTCCCGAGGAGACCACACACAAGGAGAGCCAAAAACTGCTTTTTGCCACAGTAACCTCTTCCCTTCCCCAAATGAAAGGGTGAAAAGAAAATCAGAAATTTCTGCAAGGCCCTACCGAATTTCCCCTTCAACAGAGGCTCTTGAGGTAGGATTTCATCCCTAAGAACCCATAGCGTGCACATGGCACTGTTGTGAGCTTCTTGCATTTCATGTTATTTGAGAAGAAGGATGCTAAGGGGAGCAGGAGAGAAGGACACAGCTTGACATGTCTATGGGATGCAGGATCCTGGACCGTGTTCACCGTTAGGTCTCCTAGTAAACATCAGGACAACAGCGTTTCCTCCTGCTCAGACAGGACAAGCAGCTTTGGGGTAAATAGGGTGTATTCTCCCTGCAACACTCTTGTGTTAAAAGCATAAGGTTGGCTACGGAGCTGGGCACTTGGAGCTGGCACAGCGCGAGCAGCATTCCAGGGGGGCACATGCTGCTCCACGCTGGCCCCTTTCTTTCGAGAGCCCTTGGTGATGCCCTGTGGCCGGGGCTGTGTTTTGAGGCGCTCACTCGGGGCTGCAAGTCGCTGAGCTGCTCCTCCGGGCTCCAAGGCGTGAGGTGACTCACAGAGGATGTTCCCCATCACGTCCTGCCTGCCATCCTGTGAATCACAGGCACCCTCTCCCACCACAGCCACCCAACGCCCTCGGTGACACTTCCCGTGTGTCACCCCACGGTGTCACACTGTCCACTGCTGGCAGGAAGGTCCTCAGTAAACTGAGACTAAAGAAAATAATCTTCCTACTGGTCTATCTTCATATACAGAACAAATAGTAAGAAATGAAACAATCATAGGGTAGCAGAAGGTGTACTGTTATAGATAATATATCAAAGTGCAACATATACATTGTGCTTACTAAAAGTAATTCAAGTCTTAAGAACAAAAGTGTTGAAGGCAGCTAGGCACGTAGATCTAAGACTGCCTACAAAATGTCTGCAAGTGTCTACAAAAAGGCAAGGATTTCTACAAAGTCTATGTGAGCATAAGACAACATGCCATGGTTTTGCAAGGTGAGGTGGGCGGTGAGAAGCTGCTCAGCAGCTGGACCCTGCTCCGGGGCTGAAGAGGTGCTGCAGAGCAAGAGCAAAGTGCACTTCTATGAGTGGCCACAGCCCCAGGGCTAATAAAAGTCACCACCAGAGCAGCGGTTGATGAGCGAGTGCTCCCCAGTCACCCAGGGACGTGACCGCCGGAGCGCGGCGCGCAGGCTCGCACGGAGGGAGCCTTCAGCACGCCATCAAACGCGGGAGAAATCCGTCAAGAACCACGCAAGCAGCTCAACAAGCTGCCCCATCACGGCAGGTGCTGGCTTTGGCAGCACCCATCGCAGGAGCCGCCGCTCTGCACCGCGGCAGAGGAAGTGGGAGGACGTGGCGAGATGCCAGGAAGGGCCCTGCGAGACGGGGCTGCTAAACCCAGGTGCTAAACTCGCCAAACCCGCGCAGCGCCTGCCAAGGCAACGGCACCTTCGTGGGTACTTTCCATTTTATGCGTCTTTGCGGCCGCTCCTTTCGCCCCACGCAAGCCCGCACGCTGACTTACGTTAAACTCCTCCCGGAAGAGCTTCCCTTCATCCGCCGAGCGCATCCTGATCTCCTCCTCCAGGTTCTCCACCGGGATAGGGAAGTACTTCTTGGGGCCCGACGGGGACCTGCTGAGCAGCATCACTCGCTGCTGTTCTGCCCGTGCACGAGAAGGAGGGTTAGAGCCTCGGGCAACAAGAGAGTTCAGCTTATAAATCAATTTCATCTGGAAGATGGCAAAACAGACTTCTGGGATAAGGCTTAAACCAGCGTTAAAGCTGATTTAAATAAAAAGAAAACAAAGCCACAGGCCAAGTGTCTTTTTGGAGAACATCATAAATTCCAGTAGAACCACAAGTGGTGAAGTTAATGGCCTCATCATCGCCACTAGATTACAATGTGGTTGAGACAGCCAAAAAGACTCCGAGGAATATGAAGAATATCACGGTTCCTCAAGGCGCTGAGGTTCATGGGCAGCCCAAGGGTGACATGAGCTCCCACTGCTTCCCAGTGTGGATAGCACCAGGCTGCAGCTTCCCAAGGACACCCCAGAACACCCTGGATCAGCTGAACAGACCTCACTCAACAGGGAGCTGCCCTGGGTTATGGTTAGATGTCCAGCTTTTTCTCTATCACGTTCCTTTTTGCCCCACCACTTTGCATACGCTGAGCATCTGGTTATCAATGAGAAGCCCACGTCGGGGCTTTTTTTTTTTTTTTTCCCCTTGTGAGGGTATAAAAATCCATAAGAAAGATCTTAGCAGTTGTCCCAGGTTCACCAGGCTGGAACATCTCACCAGGCAATCTATGCCAAGTGCCACATACGGAAAGACAGACCCAAAAACTGGAGCTGCTGAAAAATACCTGTGGGTTCGGGGATAAAATTACTGTGGGGCTAATGGCTTGCAGTCCTCTCCCCATCCTCTTTTCTGTTTCGGTATGGGGAAGTAGCTTGCATTTACACAAAGTTTTTTCTTTTTTTAAGTTTTTTTTAAAGTTTTAAAAAACTTTTTTTTAAAGGTTTTTTACACAAAGGGTTTTTTCCTGTTTTTTTTTTTTTGCTTTTCAAGAAGAAACACCTTCTAACCCAAGAATGTCAGAATCCTTCTAACACAAGGTGCCAGCGCTAGAAAATCTGGATCTCAGCCGGCACCCTGATAAAACCACCGGGAAGGAGCTGCTGCACCCCGGCTCGGAGCGCAAGCCCAGCCCAAGCCCTGGGCTTTCGGCTGTGCCCACCGCGGCCAGGCCGCTTACCTTGCTCCTCCAGGATGCCATTGGGCATCTTCTTGTCGCCGGCGCTCACCACGGCCTTGCGGTGCCGGCGGAACCTGCAAGGCAAGCGAGGCGGTGAGCGGCGTGGGGCTGGCGTGCCCGCCGCGCCGCCGCTACCCACCACGTCAGCCGCGAGAAGCTCTTCCTGTTCATCCTCGCAGCAGGCTCTGCCGCGAGTGCATATGCACAAATATATCCACTTATATATATATTTATATGTGTGTGCGTGTCGCTGTCGCGCATGCTCTCGTTTCCTGCCCGCGCCGCCCCCGCGCGCTCGGCCGCGCACGCGCCTACCTGAAGAAGTAGCCGGCCAAGAGGAGGAAGATGATGAGCACGAGCAGCAGGATGAGCACGGAGGTGAGCAGGTCCTGCTGCAAGCCGCGCTCCTCCGTGGAGTCTGTGGAGGCAAGTGCAGCACTTGGATGTGGCTCAGGCACGGGGCACCAGGACTCACCCCAATGCATCGCACCAGAATGTCCCCCAAATTCCTCCTGCCATTTGCTTGCACCGACCAGAAGCCTCCCAAAGCATTTGTAACACGTCCCAGGTCAAAATTCCCATCTGGAAGATCTTCTCCTCCCCTTACTCCGAGGCATTTGGCTTTTAGGATGTCAGCAACATAGTGGGAGGGAAGAGGCTCCAAAGATTTCAAAGGTTTTAAAATAAACACTGAGGTTCAAATCCAGGCAGGAGGTTTCACCGGGTGCATCCAAGTTTCGGCCTGACTGAGCTCACTCAAAAGCCCTTGGCAGGGACCTCGCTATGGGCTGTGCTATGAGATACATGAACAACGAGGAACAGTGAACCTCTTACAAACACAACTCAGAATATTAAAAAAAAAAAAAAAAAAAAAAAAAAAAAGCTTAAAATTACAG